AATAACATTTATTTTTATTGTAGACAAAAAATGTGACGAAATTTTTTTTTACTTGTTTGTAAAAAAATAACTGTTATTATTAATGTAATTAAGTTGATTATTATCATGATGATGGTGATGATACGAAGGTGGAAAGGGAGGAGACGGAAGGAAATGTGATAAAATAATTAAGGTGACAATCTGCTTCCGGAACAAGTTCAATAATAATATGAGTCCCATCCCTTTGGACAATGAAATCACTTTACTATTATTATTACATCATCACTCTATGTTTAATCAACTGACCAAATGTTATCATTGAGAAAAGTGCTCCAGGTAAACTTATCATCACCATCATCATCTTTCCCTTTTGACCATCTCTTGATTATTATCACAATTTAACCTAATTATTAAATTCTAACCGAACTGACCTTGGACTCTAAAACCTTTCGAGTAACCATAGTACCAGAAATATGAAACAAAAACAAAAGAGAGAGAGAGAGAGGAGAGAGGGAGAGAGGGAGAAAGTTGAATAGACTCTATCTTTCAATTTCATCATCAGGAAACGGAAATGTTACCAATCGATTGTAAAAGAATGGAAAAGATAAAATATGAATGGAAAATAAAAGAAAAGTGGGTGGGATGAATGAAGAAAATGGTCATAATATTTTCTCTTTCTTTCTCTATCCTGTTTTCAGAGTCTTCTCTTACTATTCAATAATTATCTCCCTCATCATCATCATCGTCACCACCGGAAATCCCTAAGGGTATTTTTACCTGTGACTCTGACTCATTGGTGAAAGAGACAAACGGAAATTCATCCAACCATGAATATTGAATATCGTGTCTTCACCCCCAAGGCAATTGCTTTTGTTTATCACTGTTACTTTATCATCTCAACTCCCACCCAAAGGACAAACTTTCACCTTTTACACAAAGAGCTCACTCGTCTCACTATCTTCCCCTCTCTCTCTCTCTCTCTCTCTCTCTCTCCCACCCCAACCTTTCATCCTCCCATCAAGGTAGACAGAAATTGTCAAAACAAAAAACTCAGGGTCAACCAAATGATGTAAACAGATGATAAAAGTTTCGTATCATTATCATCAGAGTTAATTAATCTCCGATCATTTTACAGAATTAAATTACACTCTCGCTAATCAAATGGCTCAACAATTTAACAATGACCACAAAATTTGGGTCAAATCTTTGGAGTAGATAAACAATCAACTGAACGGTGATAATATAAACAGCAATTAATTCAAACTCTCCAAAGATAATTAATAAATTGACTAGCAGATTAACCTGTTGATAAGGTTAAATTGTTTCAATGACCTTGTCAATTGTTGTTGTTAATGATGAATTATAATCTAATCATTATCATGATATTTAAATTGAAAGGATTGATTAGATTGACGTTAATCTAATTCAGTTTAATGATAATCATCACCACAAAACTGTTGATCAATTTAATGATGAACCTGAAATTTTGATGTCGGCAAAAATATCAGAATTTTTTTTAGGTGTGAAAAGATTTGATAGTTAATCTGATCGCAATTTAATCAACTTTTATTCTTACCTTAATTGTGTTCAATTGAGTTACATGAAATGAGAAATTTATTTCAACTAAATTAGTATTTAGAAAATGTTGAAATCTCATCAATTCAATTTACAGTTTGATTGGTCATCTAAAGGTTCAACTTATTGATTGACAGGTCAACTTGATGATGATGATCAACATTATCATTATTATTATCACAATCAACAATCATGTACATGGATCAAAATTAACTAAAGGTACATTATTATATTATTATAATCACGATTTTCTTGTGTAATCTTGTATTGAACACAATTTACCTTGAAAACTGTTGATTAATTGAAGTACCAGAAGAAGAAAAAAGTTATTTAAAGTGTAATCAACTAATCAAAAAGTGAAATTGAAAGTAAATCAAGAAAAACAATTGAAATCTTAATCATTTAGCTAATCAATAATCAAAGGATCATTTGTCTTTCCATCATCATCATCATCTGTTAAACTCACAATTAAATTTGAGGTAACCATTATTAACCATGGCTGGTTGATTATTACAACAACAACATTTAAGTGGTTAAATTTTTTTCCACCCTATTGATTGTAACAATCATCATCATCATCTTCCCTCTCTGTCAATTGATTGTCATCCTCTTCCCACCGTTTGACTCCTTAAAGTTTAGCTTTAGTTTTCCTCCTTTCCAACATCAATGATGACAAATAATTTACCACTTTCTCAATATATTGTTACCTTTTCAGGTAAATCATGAGTATTTTTCATGGTTAACTAATTGTCATCTCAATTGTGACTCCTAAAAACTTTCTTAACGATTATCTAGAATTATTATTAACAATATTTACCACAAAATCATGATAAAACTTTATTACTCTTCTTGTTGGAAATGTAAATTGATTACATTACCTTAATATTGATTGTTGGCAAGAAAAAAAGGTGATTAGAATTTAAATTGTTAACAATGATTTCCATTAATGTGTCGATAAATTGCTCTGAAAATTAACTTTAATAACCAAGTAAAACCTGAGAAAAGTATTGAAAAAAAGCGATACAATGGAAATTCATTGAGAGAAATTGATAATTAGCTTGGAAATAATATTTTCGCCAAAAATTGAGAATAAATTGTTCAGCTCAGTTTCACAGTTACGAATTGATTTCGCCCTGACAATTTGCTTTCTTAAACTTTCATCTTCCGACTCCACCTAATTCAAGTTAATTCACTGATTTCTTAGAAAGTAAATCAGCTTTTTGATTAGCAATTAAAATGAAATTTGATTTGTTGAGCTCACATGAGATTGATTATCACACAATCGATGATGAATCAATGGCGTAAACATTGACGATCTCCTCTCACTCATCTCTCAAGATTATTTAAAAGTTTGAGATAATCACTGATCCATAAATATAAAAATCATTCAACAAACAACCAGATAAACAACAATCAGTTTAAAGACACAAAGCTCAATGTAAACTTAAACAATACAAAATCAACAATCAAGGTAAGAAAAAAAAATGTATAACAAACAATTCATTCAATGGTAACCTAATGTAAGATTTTTTTGCCAAAAAACAGGTAACACTAAACACCAACATCTAAGGAGGATGAAGAGATGACAAGATGAAGGGATCATCTCCTCCTTGTCTCGTCATCCTCTTCTCATCATGGTAAGTATGATGCTGATGATGGTCAGTTGACTTTAAAATAATTAAATTCCCTCTCTGACAATTAGAGTCCGAATCAGATTCACTTTTACTATGAGCTAAATGGTTTCACTACATACAAATAGTTCACAGGTAAGATTAAGTTATCAATTAGTGTACTAAGTAAATAATAACTTTTTTTCATGAATTTCATGAATCAGATTATTGTCTGAATGTAATTCCATGTGAGCTGATGATTTCTCAGGGAAAAACTCTCACCCTGGTTGAGATGGTAAAAGAAAGTTAAACCAAGTAAATCGCTCTCTCTCTCTCTCTCTCTCTCTTTATTTATCCATCATCTTCATCTTTATTCAAAATCTTTGAGCTTTTGCAATTATTTAACTTATAATTGTTATGAGATGAATAGTTAATTGTAGACTCGAGAGTAAGTAACCAGAAAGTAATATAAACCGGACGATGCATGAAATGATGATAATGATGAGGCGGAGGTTGAAGGTGGGATTGAATTGGTGACAATAGATATTCACTTTCATACCTGAGTATTGTTATTGCTTATTTGCATATCCATTTACGCTTTATACTAATTCACACAACTTGAACACAGATAACAATTTGATACCATAATCACCAAAGGTGTTCATCGAGAAATTGATTATCGTTAGTTAGAAATTTTAATTAGAGTTCAAAGAAAAGGTTGATAAGCTTATAGATTTAGTCATTTGTGTACTAACCTGTGGAGTAGATTTTTGAGACTTTTCTCTTTAATTCTAATATTAAGACGAGTTTTCGCATTAAATTCTTGAAAATCAAAATCATGATTGTCCATTACTGCATGAAGGCTCAGAAAAAAGAATTTTCTTGTTTAATTAAATCGTTTTGCAGTAAACGAGTTACAAAGTTTTAAAATCGATACGAGTGGCTACATGTTATCTTTATGATAGCCGAGAAATGACTTACATGTAGATAGGATTTCAAAGATTAAGATTTTGGTTTCATCAAAATCTCAGAACTCACTCAGAAGATATTCAAAGAATAGAGAAAATATTTTGATAAATTTTTATTTCATGCCAAACCAATCTCGTAAATCTATTGATTACCTTAAATGTTTACCCAACTATCTCATGAGTTAACTGCTAGAAACGAAGTTTTTATTTATTTATTTGTTTTGATATTTTGAAAATTTCGTCAGAAATTCTCATAATTTATCCATGCAGGCTAATTGTAGTTGGACTTCATTTCCATCTTTTGTGTGTTAATAAGTTGGGATTGGACTGATAAACCAAACTAAGAGTTTGAATTCAGTTGATCCTGAGACTTTGTCAATTGTATTGGAAATTGGAAGAGACCAATTTTTTTGTGAACTTTTGGTTCCATTGGAAGTTTTTAACTTTTTCACCGAATTTGTTTCCTTCATGTTTATTGATTGATTACCAGTGTTACTTGAATTGTTTATCTCTGGATTCGTTTCACTTGTACTGTTGTTATTTATATTTGCAGAATCGAGCATCGGTTGTAAGATCCTTCTTCGTGCATTGATAAACCAATTGTTCACTTGGAGAAGAGTTAAATTTGTTTGAGCTGCAATCGATCGTTTCTCGTCTTCGGTTGGATATAATTAGAATTCATTTTTTTCTGGTTTCATTTTGAGCATTCGAAGCATCACTTGACCAGGTCAACTTTCTAATTGTCATTATCTCGTTTGATAAATTACCAGTTGACGCTGAGCTACTAGAATCATTGAAGGAATGATTTGAACGACCAGAGGAACCATGTAAACTTGAGGTTCCACATAATAATTTTTCAGAATTCATCTCGGTTTGTAAGAAATTTAATCTTCTTTGAAAAAATCTTCTACATTGATTGATTTTCTTGAAAATGGCTTCAGTAATTGACTAACATGGTTTCCTTTACATAAACTGCTATGAGATGCATTGGCAATCAAAATTAATTTAGTTAATTCATTTTTTGTAATATTTTTACAAACATTTAGATGCCTATGGGTTGGATTTTCAATGTAAAGTGGACTAGAAGTTGGCTTAGTGACCACTAATCCGTCCATTACATTGCAGCCATAATTATCGAAGTCAAAGGTTGCCAAGTGATGGAGAAATTCAGTCAACAAGGTCATGAAAGGTGTTGTCTCATCATAGGTCAGGTCATTGGTTTTTTTGGTACTGGTGCGAGCTTGATATGGATCGTAAATCACATTAAGTTGACTGATTGGTGGTAAAAGAGGAGGAGATCGAATTTGTAAAAAGTGAACAACCAACATCATCAGGCCAAAACTGTTGATCCAAACACCAGGAGCCGATCGAGTGATAATTTGTTGCATTGCCCATAATTTAGTAAATACCACCAACTTGATCACTCGAATGTCAAGCCGAGAAAATTCATGGAGAACATGAGCAATGTCGATTCCACTGTCCCTGGAATCAGGAAAAAATGTTAAATCTCCATCCAGTCCACATGAAGTCGAAGCAAATTTGATTATTGGCACTCGAGCCATAAGTATGGGTGCGACATTCTGGACACCGGGGACAAAATCCTTTAAATATCCAGTTACAATGTTTAAAATTCTTTGTGTGTCCAGTTTATCACCGACCATCGTCTTACTGGATACTAAATTTAAACCATAAACATTATCTTGAATTCTAGGTGATGACTGGGGTGATAAAAATAAATCTAAATCACTTTGGTTCCAACCAAATCCATTTACGGATGAACCAAAAGGCGATAATCTCAGTTGATTGAAAGGTCCATCACAAATCAACTCGCTTAGTTGATTGTTGAGAAAAAATCTCAATTTTGTTTCTAATTCATTAAGGATAACACTATTGGCCAATGTATCTATGAATGAATCACTTTCTTCTTGAATTGTTGAATTGATCAATTTCCACCAAGATTGACGATTATTCAATAGATCGGGTATCATTTCTGGTTCCTTTTCCAAATTATCAGTGATGAATTGACTTGGTAAAATGGTGAATACTCTCGAGTTAACTGGAAATGATTGATGGAGAAAATTTTTCTTATTCTTCTTGAAAAACATTGAATAATCATTCAGTTTAATTAAACAATATCGATGAGATTTAAGACAATATTTGTAAATTTTGTCAATCGGAGAGTCTAAAATCTGCTCCATCAAACCTTTAGAAATAAACTCTAATTTTTTTGTTGTATCCTCAAGTAAAATACAACTTTCAGCGTAAAGATTTTCATCTTTTATCATCGTTTCAAATGAATCAAATGAACTTTGATAAAATTGGCCAGTTAATTTATCATCTGTAAGGATGGTTGATGTTTTCGTTGTTGAATAGTTGAGTTTACTGTTAATGGAAGATGAAAAAAACAATTGTCGAGAAAAAAGACATCCACCAATTCGCCAGCAATTGATTGGAAACATTCTCAACATACACAAAAAAAACTAATTCCCAATATTTAAACAAACCACAATAACTAATTAAAGAAAAAGATAATTAAATTGTAAAAAAAACAACAAAAAATTTTCCATTCAAAGGTAAACCATGTGTAGATTATCACGTGATGAGAACATAACATCAGCTGAGATTTTATTTTCCATCAATAAATGACTTCAATTATCTCAAAGAAAATACAGCCAACTAGCTCTCTAATTAATAAACTATTCGAAATGTCAAATAAAACAATTAATGGAGAGAAACATTAAATTACTAATTAGGCAACATGATTAAATTAAATTCTCAATTCAAATTTAGTGATAAAAGAATAGCGATGAGAGCGCCATCTGTCTGTGAGAATAGAAAATTGAAAAAATTCTTTTCTCATTTTGTTTACTTTTTTCATCTGATGTTTACCTTTTTTCTTAATTGATGGATTAATTTGAGGAATTACATTTTTTGTCCGATTAATGTTTTGATTTATTAATTCTTTTTAATTTGTTAACCTTTGTGTCTCTTTTTTTCCTTTGTTCAAATAGGTTTTATTCAATTAGAACTTTAATTTGAAGGGTATTTCCGTCCGGTTTCTCTCTACATCCAGATTGATTTCTGTTTTGGTCTAGAAGAGAGAAAGTTGAGTTTCATGGTTTCGCCAAAATCCTGATCTAATTTTGATTCACTCATAATGGACATTAACATAAAACAAGAACTTGGAACTGACCAGAGTAAATCAAATCCTGAACTGTCCGATTATGATGATAATTCTTACAAAATTAAATGTGCCAAACTTAGCCAAAGGATAGACGAGTATAGAATGGAAAATGAAAGACTTCTTCATCATATTTGTCAAGTAAAGAAATTAATTGATCGCTATTCTAAACAGAAAAGGTATTATATTGACCACGATAAACATGTAACAATCAAAATTTGTTCTTAATCGAATCATATTGAAGAAGATGAAACAAAAAGCTCATCCAGTCAAGTTGTTCATTGGATAATAATCAATCTTTCCCTTTTCAATCATCTCAAAACTTCAATCATGTTTGATTAGTTTCCTTGTTTCTATTTGATGTAATTAATATCTATCCATGTAATTGCAGTTCTATGATGAAACGATTATCGACTTACACCAATAGCAATTCAAATAGTTGGTCGGAAAATTAAATCAATTGTGCCGAAGGATCAACATTGTAAAATAGACTCAACAACCTTTCATCTTTTCTCTGCCATCTATCAAACAATTAAGTGATATTTAAATTTTCGAAACAATCAACAATATGAAATGTTTGTAAAAATTTTCCATTCATCATTAACTGTCCGAAATTAATTGATCTTCAACCCAATTAACACGAACCATTGAATCAATTGAATGTTTTAACCGAATCAAAAAAGTGAAAGTTAAGTCAAGGTAAAGTTCAATTCTAATTAATGTAAGTTAATTTGAACGGAAATTACCTGTGGTTTTAATTACAATTAGGTGTTACCCTGACAAACTAAATACAATAGAAAATAATTACAATTCAAACAATTTGGTTTAGTTTTCACTCGAAATTTTAATTCATCAGTTTATCAACAATTAACTTTTGATTTTCCTTAAAGCATCTTCATTGATTAAATTACTTTTTCTTTCATTTTGAAGTTATCGTTACACTGGACAACATGAATTTCTCAATGTTTAATTTTTTCCATATTCTTTTAATTCTCAACTGTTTAGATTCCATTCAACTAATTGACTATCAAAAAAGTGATTTAAATTTACCTCAAACTTCAAAATTACTTAATCAATTGACCAAAAAAGCTGAAGATCTACAACAATCACCTACAACTGATTCATTAATCCATTCAGTTTCTCCTGATCATTATGACCATTGGTCACCTGAGATGGACAGTTACTTCACTCATCATCCAGAATCATCAGCTCACCAATATTATAATTTTCATTCTGAACGAAGCAATTTAATGGAACCATTAGAAGACAATCTTGATTACGTTGATGATTTACCAGATGAAATACCAACCGGAGAAATTAAATATTCAGATAATATGAATTTAGAAGATGAAGATGTAACAGAAACTGATGGCGAAGACGATGAACTTGTTTTAAGTAATTTCCACAAGACAATTGACAACTCAGGTAAGAATTAGCCACTCAAAGTGCCTTAATTGTTGATGATTAACGACAATTATTTCCCTGAAAAAATTAGGAAACAATTGGAGCATTTATGATGATAATTATTCTGTTTCTGATTTTCGATGTTCCAATAAAATCTATGCTGGTTATTATGCTGATGTTCAATCAAATTGCCAGGTATGTACGAAGACACTCAGTTGATTATCATCGCAATCTAATTAAAAAACTTTTTCTTATGTTCATTTAGGTTTGGCATCTATGTGAATCTAATGGTCGCCATCATACATTTACTTGTCCAAATGAAACTTTATTCAATCAATTGTATCGAGTTTGTGATTGGTGGTATAATGTTGATTGTCCTAAATCAAGGGAATATTATCACATGAATCGTGATCATGGTTTAATTAATCATCATGATTCAAATTCTCGTTCACGTCCATCATCAACACCAACAACAATTTCTCAACAATCAGGTGAAGGAGATTATAATATACAAACAATTGATATAAACGACGAACCGATAGTTGATGATGAACAATTAATCCTCGGAACACAAAGGAGATCGACAATTAAATCACCTAATTAACCAACATCGTTCATCTTTAATTTATATATTTCTAATTCTTAAACATCAACAACTCAACAAATTTTTGTATCATCAACTAATCCAGAGAATCTATTTTTGATATGATTAAATGTAAACCAATTCAATAAGTTAATTCAGTTAGAATTTTCAATTTTTTCTCTTTATTTCAATTCATTGGAATGGAGTTTGAAGATTTAATTTCGTTTTTGGGATTTAACTTTGTACAGATGAAGAAGATGATTAAAGTGATGCATCCATATCAATGGTGATAAATGATTAAATTGAATAATTAAGACTAAAAACAAAGAAGAGTATTGATTAGTTGACTATTAATGAAATGGTACATTAGATAAAAATTGTGTTTTCAATTTGAACACAAACACTTGAACAAGTTAATTGTTTCTCTTTTTGTTAACAATTAACTGTTCTGAGTCCTAAATGAGTATCATCTTTGAGATTTGGTTAATATATTAGAATACATGATCGGTGGTAAATTAGAATTAAATTAATTTTGGTTAATTACTGATTCAATTTCAACTTAAATATCGTGTTGAGGTTGTTGTCGTTGATTGTTCAGTTGATCCTGAGACTTTGTCAATTGTATTGGAAATTGGAAGAGACCAATTTTTTTGTGAACTTTTGGTTCCATTGGAAGTTTTTAACTTTTTCACCGAATTTGTTTCCTTCATGTTTATTGATTGATTACCAGTGTTACTTGAATTGTTTATCTCTGGATTCGTTTCACTTGTACTGTTGTTATTTATATTTGCAGAATCGAGCATCGGTTGTAAGATCCTTCTTCGTGCATTGATAAACCAATTGTTCACTTGGAGAAGAGTTAAATTTGTTTGAGCTGCAATCGATCGTTTTTCGTCTTCGGTTGGATATGGATGCTAATTGTTTAGTTAATAATAGAGAAATTAATGAGATATTTTCATGATAATCACTTGATGTACAAATGATTAACTGATATTCTTACCACAATGTGTTGGAATAGCCAAGATCGCATTACCGAAGTCGCTTGTTTTGGTAGAATTCCTCTTTTCTGGTTTCGCTTTTGAGCAACATTCGAAGCCTCATCACTGAGGTCACCTTCGGTGCCACTGTCGATTCGATAAGTTAAATTTAAAGGTTTATTTGCTCCATTATCTTGAGGTTGATTTTCCGTTGATTTCTCTTTATCTGGATCTTTGGTTTTCTCTTCAGATTGTTGTTGTTTATATTTCGATTGATTTTGTTGATGTGTTTGTTTGTTTTTTGTGAGATCTTGTGCAATTGCTGTTTGAAAATCTGTTAATTGTAACAATTGATGGAAAAGAGAAAAAAAACATAAGATTATCAGATTAATTTTCTAATTGTCATTATCTCGTTTGGTAAATTACCAGTTGGCACTGAGTTACTGGGATCATTGAAGGAATAATTTGAAGGACCAGAGGAACATTCATCTGATGAAGACGAAGAGCAGGAAGAATTATCAAAGGAACCATGTAAACTTGATGTTCCACGTAATAGATTTTCTGAATTCATTTTAGTTCGCAAGCAATTGATGTATCTGAAACAGAAGTCTTTACATAAATCTTGAACTTTTTCCAGCTCCAGTAAGTGGATCCTAAGAACTTGAATTGCTTTGATCATCTACAAGTACGAAAAAGCAAACAAAATAAATGATCTCAATGATTGTTAATATAATCAATCAAACAATTTGAATATAAACAAACACATGACAGAGCAAAGATTTTAAACTGACCAGATTATCCACTTCAGGATTTTCACCTAAAATTAATCCCTCATCACCAAGTTTACTTTCTATTGCTGCTCTTAATTCACTATTAAATGTTTCTCCGGAAGCAAATGGTTCATCATTAACACCTAATGTCGCTGTTGCAATTTCACATTTCTCCAACAATAGAGCTGCAATTGTAAGAAATAGACAATTAGAATGGTTGACTAGTTGACCAATCAACGAGAAATTAAATTCATATGAATGAACAAAGGCACAAGTTGAATGTTAATATTACCTAAAAGTGGATACAATGGATGCTTGTAAAGTTGATTTTTGTAATTATCAAACTGAGCAATATCTTTGATTAAATGTTCATCGTGTTGAATTGGTAAATCATCAGCAGGATTATCACTGGTTTCTTTCTGATTGGGTGAACTATTTGGCTTGTCAATCAGTTGATTATCCTCTCCATTATCTCCACTAGATTTGTCCTCACAATTTGCATATTCCTCTGTTTCTTTCAATTCTCTATGTGAATTGTTTTCCCTTTCAAATTCATCTTCATCTTCATCAGACAAACAGTCCGAAGAAATATCAGGCGGATTCATACGTTCGATTTAAAGAAAAAAAACACAAATTAATCACGAACAACAAATCAATTAGATGAATTAAAATTTCGATCAACCAAAATAAAAATTGAATAAGAGAGCAAATGAGAAAATCTATCAAAGGTAAGTGATGATATTGAGATGTTGTTGATTGGAAATCGGACTCAAGTTGGACATCATCCAGAGAGAAGGAAACAAATAACATCAAACCATTCGATCATTTCCACTAAATTCCAACACTTGGATAATCTACCAAAAGTCAATCTATTCACCAACAAATAAACTCAATTAAATTAAACGTTAATCCGGTTAACATAATTAACCAATAATGAGAAACAATTAACTGAACAATATCGAGAAGCATCAACAATAAAAATCTAACAGAAAAGAATTTCCAATTAACTCAAACATCGACTCATAGATGGAGCTCATTTTCTCCAAACGGAGAAATTAATTAATTTTTAATTCCAATTGATTAATGGTAAGTAAAATTAACATTTTCGCTTTTTTATTGCAAATTTAGCTTATTATAAAGTGTATTTCTAAATTTTTCTTAAAGCAATTTAATTGCTCTTAATGGTATCATCATTTACAGTCGTCGAATTTACTTTTTAAGTTGTTTGTTCAATAGTTTCGAGTAAATGTTTTAATTAGCATTTTCCATTCTATTTTCTCCTTTCAATTCGTGGACACAATAAATTGGATCAAATGTAATTAACTTTGATCGATTGATGAAAAAATTTTCCTCTTTTTGTCTCCACTGGTCAATTGAAAAATCTTTAAAGTAAAAAGCGATCTCTTCAAGAGCTGAATCTTCAGAATCGGAGCCATGAACGGCATTTCTTGTATCTGTTAATCCATATAAGCCACGGATCGTATTTGGTGCTTCATAAACTGCTCTAGAAAGTGTTATTAATAAAAAAGAAATCAATATATTTAAACAATCAATCAATTGGAATGAAAATTAATCACAAAGATTTTTATACCTGTAAACCTTTGTTGGTCCCATGATGGATCTCCAGTGTTTAATAGCATTGGGATGAGCCAAAATATGAGCCCAAATGGGTCCACTTGACATAAAGGTAACCAAACGATGGAAGAAAAATTTATCTAATAATCAAAAATTGTTAATTCACCAACAATTACGATCCGAATCAATCTCAACGAGGTTTACCTTTATGTTGATGATAGAAACTCTCAGCATCAGCTTGATCCAATTTGCAACATCGAGATCGAATAAAGTAAAATCCTTTTCTGCAAATTAGATTTCTGAGATCCTAGAACAATCAAAAAGCACAAATTAAACCAAATAAAAAGTTAAAAAACAAAACAATTAAATCAAATCAACAAATTAAAAATCAACATAAGAAAAAAACTAACAATTGTTTTACAAGCGATCGGAGTTATATCGGGTTTGATTAGACAAAGAGTTAATTGTAACCTCGCACCGATTGTCGAGACCATTTTGACCAATCAATCATTCAAATTAACTAAATTAAATTAAAAAAGAAAAACAATTAAAAACAACAACAAATTTCAATCACACTTGAGATTCTTACACATGGTAAACATAAATCTCCACTGGATAAGCTCCTCCCCTTTTTCTTTCTTTTTTCTCTTTCTTGCTCCATGTGATCAGTTTTCTATTTTTTTCTGTCACTGTTTTCATTTCTGTTGATGTTGAGTTGGTTTCTTTTTAATAACAATTAACCACTCAACCAGATTAATTGTAATCAAATTTAATATTCAATTTTCTTCCTTGGTTACAGAAAAGTTGATTACTTGTATCATCAAATTGTTAATGTGTTAAAGGTTATAAATCGTAACATTGTGATAATCAATTTGTAGAAAAGAAAATTTTTTTTCTCTTTTTTTTCTATTCTCTTGTAATGAACATCATCATCATCTATGATTTTATAATTGATCTGCTCCTGTAGTCTCACACACTCTTCAGCTTATTTTCACCTTTGGATTGAACAATTTAATCGTTCATTAATGGTAATACTTGACTTGTTCTCTCCCTATTTCTCCTGTGGTGATTATATCATAATTGTTAATCAATTTGGTAAAATGATTGATTATCTAAGCTTTTCCTTTGTCAACAACAACAACAGAAAATAATCATTATCATTGTAACATCAGAAAGCCGGGATTCTTTTTTTTCCTGTTGATTGTTTCAATTTTCCTGATGATGATAAAACAAAATCATCGGTGTTAATATCAAGCCAAAGTTATAATAATCAGGATGATAATGAAATTACTTATTGGATGATTGAAACTGTTGGAGATTTTGATTTCTATCATAAGCTGAATTTACCAATTTCTTGATTCTTAAATTTTTCTATCTCATTGATTTGGATCATTTCATGGAAATACAATTCACCTTGGTTCTGATTATGTGATAATTATATGCAAAAGGCGATTACAAAAGGACGAAACACTTTTAGTCATCATTTTGTTTTGATTTTTCTTCTTCTCTTCTATTGTTTTACTTTTCTTCTCATCTAAATTGTTTCCTATTTCAGTGGTGATCTTTTTTTTTCATATCTTCAGCCATCACATCATAGAGGAATAATTTAACATGGGAAGCCAATTATTGTCCATATTACGACAAGGAGTTTGGGCTAGTCTCACCGGTGGATGGTATTATGACCAGAAGCAATCACATTTCTCTAACCTTTTTCACCTTTACATTTGGTTATTGTTATTATGTCTTCCCTTGGCCATAGAGCTTTGTGTTAAAAGTTATCTTTATCCCTCGGATCATGTAATCATATGGTCTCTCTACTGTCTCATAATCGCTTCCATGTTTACACTGATAAAATTTGTAAATGCTTATCTTCATCACCTCTTTGACTCAGGTGAATATGTTATTGAAGAAGAGGCCACAAGCCCCAATGATGATGATGAAGAAGAAGAAGGCATCACCGATGGTGCAGATAAAATTGATGATAAAGAAGGTGATAAAAGTAGTATATGTTATCAGTCCTTCGATGATACCAGTAAAACCCTCAACATTGAGACTTCATCGGACACTTCAAAAGCTTGTGATATTTTCGTACATAATAATGGTACTGCTGGTCAACATGAGCACAGTTTATCCAATCGTAGTAATCGAGGTTCAACGGAAAGACCTTTAGTAACAATTTCTTATACTCGTAGCTCCGGTAAATCAGTGAATAGGACAACAAGTGATTCAGATCATGGGGCAACCACGTCAGGAGCTTCTGTTGTTGTCTACCAATCTTTGGGGGTTACTGGAGATCTAACCTCATCTCCATCAACAAGTCAAGCAATGGTTCCTTCATCGTCAGCTTCAATTAAGTCAAATGATGGACCACCAAGCTATTTACTAGCCAGAATCTTAGCAACACCCGGAACCCATTTAGCCAAGAGTAATGATGATAATTCTTCCGGTGCTGTTCATTTTTTTCAGGTTCGTTTTCAATCATTTGTTTTTTAAATTCTTTACTCTTACTGAATCATGTTCTCAATTGCTCTCTCTCTCTCTCTCTCTTTTCTCTTCTAGGATGAATGTGGTAATTGGTTAACATACATTTTCGATGAAAATAGTGACGGAACAGCTAAAGGATTGATGTCCAATGATAACAAACCTTATTTCTCTGACCCTGTCCCTTCAGCCTCAGGCATTTCCTCGGTGAAAAGGTCAAATGTTGATAAATGGGCATCTGATTCATCTAAATCTTCAAAATCATCTGATTCATTAACTGTGATGGGAAACACTCATCCCGAAAATAGTCCTAAAGACAATACTCAACACCAGCGGCTCGCAATAGGAGAAAAATGCTCAATTACTAATACCTTTTCTCCACAATTGGAAACACAATTCTTAAGATCACCGAGTATCAATTCAATGTTTACAGAGCCAAGTAAATCTTTCAACAGTTTGAAAAAGATTGAGACATGAAAATTTTTTGTTTATCTAATTTGATTTAACCCGAATACTTTTCCATCTCTCAATTTTGTTTATTTTCCCTTCTTTAAATATACTGATTTGTTTTTTTCGTCTCTTTTTCTTCCAACTTTTAGATGCAATCTCATTCCCTATGTCTATTAACCCGCGATTTGGTTCAAGTCCCAACATAGTCATCGCTTCTGAACGTCACGTTAGCTTCTCAACCAATCTTAATAGTCCCGAATACGCTAACCTTTCATTCCGACTCCCGATACGATACAATGATTTCATTTCGCCAGCAAAACCCAAACAATATTATAAACTTTGGATTCCACCTTGTATGCGATGGAGATACGTTAAGATCCGTTTTGATCGGTTAAATTTACTTACTCTCCTAGATCGTAGTTTAACTTTATTTGAACTATTTTCTTCAATATTTCTAGCCGTTCTGGTTGCTGTTTTGGGCTCGATAATTATTGAGAAAGGTTTTTTCACTGATCTCTGGTTATTCATATTTTGCTTAGTTATCTGTTCATCTCAATATACACTTTTGAAAAGTGTCCAACCCGATGCAGCATCACCAGCCCATGGTTATAATCGTATTATCATTTACAGTCGTCCAATTTATTTTTCAATTGTTTGCTCAATAATTTTACTCTCTCGTTACTATTTGGATCACAATTTATCTTATTCGTTAAAATTTTACGATTTCAACTTATTGGATCCTTCGGTAATTCGGACCATTGAAGAAGGAGCCAAAATGTTTATCCTCTCATTTCCAATCATCTTTTCGTTTGGACTCTTACCTCAAATTAATACCTTTCTCATGTATCTTATGGAGCAAATTGACATTCACATTTTCGGAGGAACCGCTTTCACCATGGGACTAACGTCAGCCTGTTATTGTATCATTCGAAGTGTTGTAATTGTCCTAGTTCTTTATGCAATTGCTTTAACATCTTTACTTCGAGTTACCAGTCGACGAAGAGCAGCAATTGGACTAACATATCACGATTATGATGTTCTTTTCTCTGTTTTCTGTGGTCTCCTCGTCTTTTTTGCATATTTCATGAGTCGACAAACCAGTGATCCAACAGTTGTTTACACTTTGATTCGTAAATATTTAATATGTGATAGACTTTCATTCAATCGTCGTTCTAAAATAAACGGACGTCGATGTTCAGGCAGTGGAAACAATAGTTCAACAGATGATCCCGAAGGTCGACAAGAAGAAGAAGAAGAATGTGATCCCTTTGAAAAAGAATATGTAGATCCACTACCAGGGAAATTAGAGAAAACATTGTTAATTCGTTTGGAAAATGATATAATTCTTGCAATTTTGATGACAATAATTTTCTTTGCAATTCATGTCAGCACCATCTTCACTCTTCAACCTTACGTTCAGATGTCATTGGGAATTCTGGCCGTTTCATGGGGCTTCTTGTTACATTACATTTTCACCCATTTCCGTAAAGAGTTACCTTGGCAATTTTTTGCCTCACCAATTTTGAAGCCTAAAGAATATGATCAATATGAGGTCAAAGATGAAGCGCAATTAATGTGGTTTGAGAAGTTCCAATGTTGGCTCGGGTTCATTGAGAGAAATGCAATTTATCCTTGTGTCTTTCTCAGCATTCTGACCAAAGATACCCCAGAGATAATCAATAAATATGGTGTTTAGTAAGTATCGCACTTATCAAATTTAGTTTAATTCTTTTTGCATTTTGTTAATTGTTCATTTTCCCTCTTTCATCTCATACAGTTCGGGAACACTGCTCATGGTTATTTGTGCTTTCAAGTCAATTCGATCAACTTACAATGACTCATCTCATAATCATTTCATTTTACTCTTCACATGGTTAACCTTTCATTACGACCTTTCCTACCTTCGAGAGCCATTCCTGGTTAATTATGCTGTTTTCTCAACAATTTACCTTAAATTCACTGAGCTTCTTCTTAAAATCCGTTTTGTGGTCACTTATGTTGCTCCCTGGCAAATTTCGTGGGGCTCAGCTTTCCATGCATTTGCTCAACCATTTTCGGTTCCTCATTCGGGGATGCTCTTCATTCAGGCCATTCTATCATCCATCTTATCTTCACCATTAGAACCTGTTCTGGGAAGTGCTATTTTCCTTTGCTCTTATGTAAGGCCAGTTAAATTCTGGGAAAGGGATTACAATACAAAAAGAATCGATTATTCAAATACTCGTCTGGTCAATCAATTGGAACGAAGTATCATCGGTAGTGATGATAATAATTTAAATTCCATTTTTTATGAACATTTAACTCGATCTCTCCAACACTCTCTTTTTGGTGATCTTGCTCTTGGTAGATGGGGTCAAGTATCGCAAGGTGATTGTTTCGTCCTCGCTAGTGATAATCTTAATTGTTTGGTTCATATTATTGAACTGGGAAATGGTTTAGTTACCTTTCAAGTTCGTGGTCTTGAATTTAGAGGAACTTACTGTCAACAACGGGAAGTTGAAGCAATCAGTGAACCGGTCAACGATGATGAGGGTTGTTGCTGCTGTGAACCTGGTCATTTACCGTCAATGCTTTCAGTAAATGCCGCGTTTAATCAACGTTGGTTGGCCTGGGAGGTAACTCATTCTAAATATGTTCTCGAAGGATACTCAATCTCGGATAATTCAGCAATCTCTATGCTTCAACCATTTGAATTACGAAAAGCGTTGATTACTTATTATGTCAAGTCTCTTATTTATTACACAATAATTGGTTCTAAACTGGAAACTTGGCTGCGAAATGATGATATCCGTGAAACCATTGATGGCCTAACAAATGATCGTGACTTTGTCGATTTAGATCCAATATTTAATCTCTCCGTTGATGAAGATTATGATTTCCGTGCCTCAGGAATAAATCGTGCCAGTTTCTGTCATGTCTACTTAAATTGGATCAATCATTGTCTCACCAAGCGAAAAAATGTGATCGAAGATGTTCAAGATAAAGAAGCCGTTGTCTCTCTTTGTTTCGCTCTTTCGCTTTTAGCTCGTCGAGCCTTGAGCACCGCATCTCACAATAATTCATTCAATACAGTTGAATTCTTACTTTATGGATTACACTCGTTGTTCAAAGGTGACTTTAGGATAACGTCTCCGCGTGACGAATGGGTTTTCAAAGACATTGATTTACTGAAAAAAGTGATCGCTCCAAGTGTCAGAATGGCAGTTAAACTTCACGCAGATCACTTTCTATCCACAGACGAATACGATGATAATATTGTTCTATGGGCTTCAATTACCAATTATCGTCAAAATTGGGTCATTTCCCATGAGGCCGATCCTATTTGGCGAAATGCTCTCCTATCCAATGTATCCTCTCTTCTGGCCCTACGCCATGTTTACGAAGATGGTACCAATCAATATAAAATCATTATGCTCAATATTAGACATCTTAGTTTTCGAGTGATTAAGGTAAATTATTGTTCATCTTATTCAATAAATATTTAAGTACTAATTTATGTTCATTTCCTTAGGTTAATCGTGAATGCGTCCGTGGTCTTTGGGCTGGACAGCAACAAGAATTAGTTTACCTCCGAAATCGTAACAATGAAAGAGGTTCAATTCAAAATGCTAAACAAGCGCTAAGAAATATAATAAACTCATCTTGTGATCAACCAATTGGATATCCCATTTATGTATCACCTCTAATTACCTCATTTGGTGAAACTAATCCACAATATTGTTCAGTTATTGGTAAACCATTGAGCTTTCACACCTTTAAATCGGCTATTTTATCGGCCTGGAATCGTTTCAAGACTCGATGTCGTGAAGGTTGTTCGTCGGGACAAGCTTGTCAAGAAGAGATTAATCAAGAAGAGTTGATGATGAGGCCACTCAATTCAGTTCCATCATCTTGTCGGGGTCGACCTATCCAAGAGCGATATCCTTATGATTCCCGAAATCGCGGAGGTCAGTTTTATTTACCAATCCCTTTGATCTCCAATCAAATACTATCAGTTTTCAATCAGACTATCATGTTAGTCATCATTTGATGTTATTTAAATTATCTTAATTGAGTCATTCAGTTGTGCTAATCTAGTCTTAACTATTTATTCATCAAGTTTTGACAGCCGCAGGTATTAATTGCTGATCACAATTGGTTTATATTAATGAGTCTCAACAAAAAAAACAGACTTTTTTGTTCATTTTTCTTGTTCTTCAACTTGATTTTCTGTCCAAATTATAACCAAAAAGCAATTAACCATCATGATAATCAGTTGATAACCTTTTCTCTGATACAGTTTAAAGATGACTCGAAAAAGGGTTGATTAAAGTATCGCAAAAACTAAATCAGAAATCGAAAGGCAGCTATTTAAACCGTGAGATCGATTAACCTTTTCGTCTCGAAAATGTAGTTCGAATCAGATCTTTATTATTTTTGCTCTTTCGATACTAATAGTTGAACGTTTCTAATTTAAAATACTTAATCTTCAAGCCTTTAGCATAATCAAAATATTCAGACATTTTTTCTAATGTTAATCTTAATTTGGATTTAATAATAATCAGAAAAGTTAAGTCATGTAACTGTTGATGATTTAATCCAATTGACAAAAAATTATTCCAATCGTTATTAGCAAACTATATCAATTTTTAATTATCTTTGATTATCCACACCTTAGAGTTTGAAAAAAAAGGAAGAGCAAGTAAATCAGATTGATTTTTAATCATATTATTTGACTATTTTAATTTTCCCCAATCTATTTAATCATCATCAATTTTGATTCGCATTGAAAATGCAAAATCAATTCAATGTTTTAATAGTTGTTTATCTTGACATTTAATCAAAGTAGTTTAATAATAATGAGAGAGAGAGAGATAATTTGATTGCCAATCCCATTTCCGATTCTTTATTATTTTCCCAATCAAACTTTTGATCAACAATTAACTTTGTTTATTAATAATTTTTTATTGGTTATCTTTTTATTAACAATAGGTGGTCGAAGCAATCGAAGTGGACATTTAAATGACCGATCGTTCAATGAATTTGAACGATGTCATCTTTTAACTCGTATCTCATGTACGATCCCAAATCAATTGTATCCGCAAACAGCATCGGCTCACCATGTAACCGGACCAGCGACCATTTTAGATACAATTAACCGATCCATGTCAACTAATCGACGACAAAGTTCATCAACACTGGTCAATCTCACCGCTTTCCGTCCCACAGAAAATGTTGATTGTGATAATTTAGAAATGACTTCATTCACCTCAAGAGGTTCAATTGGTAATTCAAGTATCAACAGTAACAATTATAGTCATAATAACAGTTTAAGTAGTAATAATAATATTATCGTTAATCAATCAAATAATGTTAATAGTGTAATTATTAATAATAACGTTGTTAATAACGATTTGGTTATTAGCAACGATCAACAATTAACCCAATCAATTGACACTAGTTCAATCTCATCTACGACAACAGTCAATTCAACAACAACAACAACAACAACACCAACTACAACTGTTATCACTTCAACCGTTGCTGGACCTTTATCATTATCTTCATCTTCATCATCTCTACCATCATCATCTTCTCCTCCCCCTTTGTCGTCATCCTCATCATCGACAACATCATCACCTTCATCTTCACCCTCAACGGTGACTGCAGTGACTTCATCTTCTTCTTCATCCTCATCATCACCTTCACCGACATCATCAACTCATCTACATCATCGTTCTCGACCGGAATTGGTTTGAATGGATAAACAATTAATCTCTCATAATCTTAATCATCTTCTTTTCTCTCTCAACTTTTAATTTCTATATTTATATATTAGATTTTTGTGAGTTTGTATTATTTCCTCTTTCTTTTCTTTCTATATTTACATTCACACAAATTAATGATGTTGATGATTAATATTAATTTTTCATCTTCTTTCATCTTTTCATGAGATTTTTGTTATAAGTTAATCAAGTTGAGAGGGAGAAACAAATTATGATTAGATGAGTTGGATAAAGTAAATACACCGATTGCTTAATTATTTACAATTAAAGCATAATGATTACACACCTAAACCACACAATTGGTTGGAATTGTAAAGACAAAAAATTAGTAGATTGTTCAAATTAATTTATGTTAAAACACACAAAACAAAGTTAATCAAAAAAGCAAAACAATACGTCCAAACCTGCCATAAATAAAAGCGCTAATTAATAAATTGATAACTTTGATTTGATGAACAATTAGTTACCTTCATTTATTATTAATTATCTTTATCTCACCGGTACTATTACCAATTAATCAGTGATAATCAATTGAGATCAATTGACTATCAATCAAAAGAGTTCGCTAGGCAAAAATAACGTGCACTTAAAACCAATTGATTGTTTGAGTGTGAATTTATCATGACAACGTCACATTATCACGATAGGAGGATTTTCTGGTGATAAATTTCAATGATAATAACAGATTATCTCAAGAAAAATTATAATTTCAGGTTTGATTGGAAAAATATTGTGAACTGGTACAAATATAATTAAAATCAGGTGAGAATTAATTTAGTTTTACCATCGCTCGTAAAACTTTTCCTTCTTTCATTAAGGTAAAGGCTTCGTTAATCTGTTCAAGTGGCAGTACTTCAGTAATGAACTCATCTACCTTCAGAATACCTGAAAGATAATCTTCCACTAATTTAGGAACAGCGTCACGGCTTTTCCAACCTCCGAAAGCGGTTCCTTTCCATGTTCGTCCAGTTACCAGTTGAAATGGTCGAGTACTTATTTCTTTACCTGAAGCGGCAACACCGATGATCACTGAGACACCCCAACCTTTGTGAGCCGATTCAAGAGCTGCTCTCATGGTATGAATATTACCAATACACTCAAATGTATAATCTGGTCCACCGTCTGTAAGGTCAAAAAGTACTTGTTGAATAGTTTTATCTTTGTGGTCAAGAGGATTGATAAATTCAGTAAAACCAAACTCTCGAGCGGCTTCAAATTTACTCGGGTTGATATCGATTCCGATAACACGTGAGGCTTGACGAGCCTTACAACCGATACCAACGGCTAAACCAACAGCACCGAGACCCCAGACTGCACAGATGCTTCCTGGTTCAACATCAGCGGTGTTCAAGACAGCTCCATAACCGGTGGGGATACCACAACCTAAGAGACCAACTTTCTCTAACGATGCCGTTTTATTGATCTTAGCACAGGCGATCTCAGGTAGAACAGTAAATTCGCTAAAAGTTGATGTTCCCATAAAGTGGAAAACAGTTACACCGTTGCAGGTAAAACGAGAGGTACCATCAGGCATAACTCCTTGGCCTTGAGTGACTCTGATTTTCTGGCAGAGATTAGTTTTCGGATTTTTACAGAATTTACATTCTCGACACTGGGAGTGTAACACGGAATGACATGATCACCAGGAACAAGACTGGTAACTCCCTCGCCGACACTTTCAACAACACCTAGAAAATGAAAAGAAAAACCCAAAAAAAAAAGTTGTTAATCAATAATCATAATGAAACATTAAACTTTCACTTTAGAATTGAGGTTGAATTGAGAAAACAATTAAAAAGATGATCATGAATAAATTGATTGATTGTACACTTTAAATCTCCTCAATAAGATTAAGTTTAAGCCCCATGGTGTTAATCATCTGACTAACTAATCATCAATCAGATAAATTGAAATTAAGATTTCGATACGAACAAAAAAGTAAACGAAAAGTTGATTGTCATGTCAGTTAACCAGAAATGATGAAATAACATAAAACTTGATCGTAATTAAGCACCTTGAGAAAGGAAGTACATAAGGTTAAGTAAGGTGATAGGTAAAAGAAAACAAGGTTAACTTGTTGATGGAAAAATGAATAGAATTACCTGCTCCCTCGTGCCCCATGATACAGGGAAATTTTCCTTCAGGATCTAATCCAGATAGAGTATAATAATCAGTGTGACAAACTCCGGAGGAAACAATTTTGACCCGAACTTCACCAGCCTTGGGTGGGTCAACAGTTACTTGTTCAATTGTCAAAGGTTCATTTGCAGCCCAAGCAACAGCAGCTTTACAGTTGATAGGCTGTTGAGAACAAAGAAATTAAAAAGAAAAAAGAACAAAAATAAATTCTACTTAACGAAAACAAAAAAGAAAAGAACAAAATTTAGAGAAAATATTCTAAATAGAAAAATATTATTCTTACCTTTCCAACAGTTGAACTCATGTTATATAAATTAGATTAAGACAAACAATTAAAAGCACCAAAGTAAATTAAATGATTTAATCAAAAAAGAGAAAAGCAAAGCAGAAAAAGAGTCACCACAATAAACGTCACGTTAATCCAAAGTAGAAAAGATTTGACTAATTCAAGGATAAAAAGAGAAAAGCTTTTTATGTAATAACTCAATCAATTATTTTCATGGTCTTTTTGCACGAAGTACTAAAATCCGGCTGAGATTCACGTTTCGATGGTAATACAAATTGTAAAGAGTACAAATGGAGAAACAATTTAATCAACAATCAACAGAGAAAAAGAAAAAACAAAAATGAGTAAACTTGACAATGAGAAAAAAAAGTGATCCAGTTACAAACCATTGGATCTTTTTGATTGAATAGATACAAAGAGATATTATTTTCTTTTCTCTGTTATTTTCTCATCAAACAATAGTTGCAGGTAATTCACTCACCGGTTAACCTTGGATTGACATGGAACAAGCTGATTACATAATAGTGTAATTAAAGAGAAAGAGAAATTAAAGTTGATTGTTGAAGAAGAAAAAATCAGATATCGATTATCTGATTATCTATTATCGTTTCGATTTGTATCCATAGGGAAAGAGAGGGAAGTTGATTTTTCTCCTTCTTTGTTTTCTTTTCTCTCTCATTAGAATTTTCTTATTCTTTTCTAGCAATTAATAATATTAATTAGTATTTTTTTGTTCTTCTCTTCATTAATTCGCCATCAATCATTTAATCAAATTGAAAATGTTCTTTAATTAGAAATAGATCAACAAAGAAGGAAAAGTAAACCCTTTTTCTCTTGGTGGATATTTGTTATTCTCTTTCTATTCTCTTTTTTTCTTTTAATTTTGGTTAATTGTTAATCTTTTATGTACTTAAAGGTAAATGTTTATTTATTTTTGTTTTATTCCATTTGGTCAGTTGGTTGGTATTTAATTTAAAGAATTGAGATGAAATCGTTTTCATTAAGATGTAATGATTAATGTAACGACATTTCATTTCTTCAATTACTACTACTGGTCATCTGTAATCATCGCCATCATTAAGGCCCTTAAGGTGTTACCCTCGATCTCTATCAAATTTTATTTTGGATAACCTGATATGTGAATGATGTGAACAATTAACCAGTTAAGTTGAATTAATAAGAGATTCCAGCAGATCCAACGCAATAAGCGTTTTTCATTGTTACATGACAACATTTGTAGCCCCATTTTTGAGTCTTGACGTTATAAAAAGAGCCCCAAACGGATTTGTGATTATTTGGATGAACATCTTCCTCGTATCTAGAACTAATTATGGTCTTCGGTGGTTCGATTTTTGGTTTTCCGTCTCGAGAATATTCAACGTATCTCTCTGATTGTCCATAAACCAATTCGGCCGGTGGTGATTGTAGATATTCCTCTCCACCATATTTCTCTAAGATTCTTTGTTTTATTGAAGTTTTATGTTTAGTCTTTTGGATTTGGTGCTCTCTGCGAATTATTTCCATTGCTGTTGGTTCGGCCTGAAGGTGAATATCGACACCTTTATCTCGAGCCTGCCAAGCGAATAATTGAGCTTGTCCAACTTTAACGGCATCAGCTGAATGTCGAACATAGTTTTCACCAGCGTAAGGAAGATCAGTTGAATTCTTCGATGTATTTTTATAAGGATTGTCTCTCATGGAACGAGTTTTCGGATCATAATAAGCCGAATCAGGATCTAAATTTCGAAGGTATTTGGCTGTGTCCTCTCTGATTCTAAGATTTCGCACAGTAATTCTTTGTTTGGAATCGACTTTTGTACCAGGCATATCAATATGATCGGCGTATTTATCTTCTTCATCGGAATCAGAATCCGAATCCCCTTTTTCTTTAAGAGTTTTTTTAGCCTCTTCAAGTTTTTCATATTCATCAACAACGGCTTTGTACATCTGAGGACGATACCCATTCCACCGATCTCTTTTGCCATCATAATCTAAATTAAGTTTAGCTACCTCGACGTCATCTGGAGCTGTAACAATCCCCGATACTTTGGCTGGAATCTTCCTTGGCTTCTTGAAACAAGATTTTCGATTATGTCCCATGGCTCCACAGTTCTCACAAGCTCCAGGTCTATAATTGGTTGTAATTTTGTTTGTTGTTCCTCGTTGGTACCATTCATCAACACGAGCAATCTTGGATTTATTTTCATCTTGTGGTCGCTGATGTTTTAATGTTGGTCCAGAAGAGCCATAGTACCAAGGGGTGATTGAAATATACTGTGGGATGTGAGGGTTAATGTCTTTACCATCTTCATCGACAAGAGCTGGAACTGTACCCGCTTTCCTTAATTCCTCCAATTCCTTTTCCTTTTTAAAATCTTCTCGTGAACGTTTTTTAGGCACATCCTCGGGAAAATCAGAGCCTCGAATTAGTTGAGAAACTGGTCTCTGTTGAATCGACATTTTGACACCGAAAATCAAAAAACGATCCTTGTTGACACAAAAAAAGAAATAATAATTAACTGTGAGATTGAAAATTAAAAATGGTTAAGCCTAAACAGCCAGAAATGGGATCAAGTCTTAATGAATTGAATCCAATGTTAATTCAGTTAAAGGCAAATTTTGAGATCAAAATCCAGAAGCACTGATACCACATGAGATATTTTCTCATGAAAAAGAAAACTGAATTTTCTGAAACGATTGTTAATTATTTCACTAGTATTTCTTTTTTTACTATTTAATTGATCACTTTTCATTAATTAAATAAGAATTCACTAATTAGAGTTGAAAACTGATTAAACTTTTCTCTCTGGTTATTTAGGCTCGGGGACTATATGACCAGAGATTTCTGGTCGAATAGGCTGTTCCTAAAAAAATCAACGAGAGAAAAATGTAAACAAAAACAAAGACGAAAAGAGAACAACCATCAAGCGCCACCGCTTAGAACCAAAAGTAACTAATCAAATTCTCTGGGAAAAGTTAAACTGATTGTCCCTCATCTTCATCACAATAAAGCTTTTAAGTAAATAGTTAATCTTTGGTTTAATCCTTTTGTCTTTGTTAATTTTCTCAGTTTTTAAGAAGAAATTTTTTAGAAAAAAATTTTAAATTTTTTCGTCATCCTCATCATCGACAACATCATCACCTTCATCTTCACCCTCAACGGTGACTGCAGTGACTTCATCTTCTTCTTCATCCTCATCATCACCTTCACCGACATCATCAACTCATCTACATCATCGTTCTCGACCGAAATTGGTTTGAATGGATAAACAATTAATCTCATAATCTTAATCAATCAGATAAATTGAAATTAAGATTTCGATACGAACAAAAAAGTAAACGAAAAGTTGATTGTCATGTCAGTTAACCAGAAATGATGAAATAACATAAAACTTGATCGTAATTAAGCACCTTGAGAAAGGAAGTACATAAGGTTAAGTAAGGTGATAGGTAAAAGAAAACAAGGTTAACTTGTTGATGGAAAAATGAATAGAATTACCTGCTCCCTCGTGCCCCATGATACAGGGAAATTTTCCTTCAGGATCTAATCCAGATAGAGTATAATAATCAGTGTGACAAACTCCGGAGGAAACAATTTTGACCCGAACTTCACCAGCCTTGGGTGGGTCAACAGTTACTTGTTCAATTGTTGATTGTTGAAGAAAAAATCAGATATCGATTACCTGATTATCTATTATCGTTTCGATTTGTATCCATAGGGAAAAAGAGAGGGAAGTTGATTTTTCTCCTTCTTTGTTTTCTTTTCTCTCTCATTAGAATTAATTAATTTTCTTATTCTTTTCTAGCAATTAGAATATTAATTAGTATTTTTTTATCTTCTCTTCATTAATTCGCCATCAATCATTTAATCAAATTGAAAATGTTCTTTAATTAGAAATAGACCAACAAAGAAGGAAAAGTAAACCCCTTTTTCTCTTGGTGGGATATTTGTTATTCTGTTTTCTATTCTCTTTTTTTTCTTTTAATTTTGGTTAATTGTTAATCTTTTATGTACTTAAAGGTAAATGTTTATTTATTTTTGTTTTATTCCATTTGGTCAGTTGGTTGGTATTTAATTTAAAGAATTGAGATGAAATCGTTTTCATTAAGATGTAATGATTAATGTAACGACATTTCATTTCTTCAATTACTACTACTGGTCATCTGTAATCATCGCCATCATTAAGGCCCTTAAGGTGTTACCCTCGATCTCTATCAAATTTTATTTTGGATAACCTGATATGTGAATGATGTGAACAATTAACCAGTTAAGTTGAAACAATTATATATACCTTAAATATGAGATAATCATGATTTGAGATGTTTATGTAATTAACTACTATTTAATCATCATTAATAACTGGACTGAAAAGGAAAAGATTAACAGGGAATGGAAAAGATTATTTATTAATTGTTGCTGATTAATTATCGATTCATCCAGGAAAAAGATTTATTTGATTGTTTCAATTGTATTAACAATTACCTGATAGGTAAATTGTTTTCTTTCTATTGGACATTCGGATGATTTTTTTTTCTCTCAATTGTTAACATCATCACCCAACTAATGGTCACATTATGTTGTTTAACTATTGGTTTGCCTTTATCATTATCAACAATTTATCTACAATTAAAGATGTTAATCTTTTCCGTCAAATCTGAAGTTCAATTGTAATTCAGGTAAGTTCAAGTTTAGTCTTTCCTGTTCATCAAACCAGGAAGGTTAAACTTAGTTGATTGATTAATAATTGATCCATTGTTTATCTTTCTCACTAATTATTAATTACTTTCTCTTTCTCTTATATCTTAATTTCTTACAGTTTTCAAAATTTAATGTAACCTGAATATAAAATGGGTCAGTTTTTCAAGCAATTAAGTCCATCGTTATTACGTGAAAGTGTAAAAGTTGATATAAAGAAATGATCATTGATTATTATTTACAAGAAATCTCATCAATAACAATTAAATCAACTGGTGTTTGTGATATTTGCTTACCAATTTAATCAATACAAAAATGGTAATCAATATCTACTAAATTAATAACAAATTTTAATCATCTCTATTTAATGAACACCTCATTTCCTCATTGATTTAGGCCAAAAGATTATTATTATTATTAAGAATTGTTTACAATTCATCATAAAACAGTTGATTAATCTGCCAATTTACAATTAATCTAAACAATTTGATTTTCAATCTATCAAAATCATTTGAAAATTTTAACATTATCATCAAAAATTGTATCATGAATTCAATTGATTTAAAACAATTTGTAAACAACTCAATCAAGTTAAAAATAATTTATATTTTCATTATTTTAATTTGAATACAATTGGTGATTTATTATCAGCACAGTTAGTTAATTGTAGATCTTTCCAATCAATTACATTAACAACTTTAATTGTACCTCATTTGATTATTGGATGATTATTTTTGTATTTTACTAATTTAATACTTGCAGTTAATTTACTAATTGTACAACAATTAACTAGACACTAAATTGTTTATGATTTATTCACCGTTTGTAATAACCAAAAAATTAAACTTCAATCATGACCAATGATTTGCCAAATATCTTATCCGTATCATGTATATTAATCAACATCCAGGTTATATTAATTAAGTTAATCAATCAAAAAGGATTGTAATAATAAGGAAATCAAATGATTTAGTCATGCTAATTGTTTACTTCTTTCCAGCAATTAACGAAAATAAATGATGGTGTCGATAATTATCTCTCATCAATGGTCAATACGATTGTATTGACCAATTCCTATGGAATAATCAACAATTGACTTACAATTATGAAACAATTCAGATAATGATGTCTGACCATTCAAGATCAATGTTGAGGCTTGATGACCACTCGAGATGGATTAGATTCTATTGATTATCTTTAATTGTAAGGCCACTAAATTTTTGATTGAAAGGTAATGATGATAATCAAGTGATGGAGAAGATAATCACACAATCGATTCACGTTTTTTGATGCAAACATTCAAGAAAAACCTGAAGCGCTACAAGGAGAGAGAGAGAGAGAGAGAGAGAGAGAGAGAGAATTGTATAAACTTAGCGATCATGTTGATCGCTCCCTTGTCAAAGTTTATTTTTTATTAATATATTTATACATCGGATCATCTTCTCGACCCTTTTGTCTTCTGTATTCTTCAATTTCCTCCTCAGTGGGTTCATAAGAAGCACTCATTGAATTGTATGGTCTTTTACGATCATCTATCATCTCTCCATCTTCCACGGGGAATAAATTATTTCCTCGTTTCCTTTTCTTGTGTCCCAATTCTGACCATCGTTGTTTACTAATAACCAATTTGGGGTCATTGTCATTTGTTGTCTCATCCGTTGTTCGGTCTTCAGATGATGATTCTTGCGTAGATGATTCTTTTTTCTTTTCCACTTTATCCATACCGTGAATTAAATTTTCTTTAATTAAATCATCATTAGAAATTCCAGCTGATCCGACACAATAAGCGTTTTTAACTGTCGCATGACAACATTTGTAGCCCCATTTTTGAGTCTTGACGTTATAAAAAGAGCCCCAAACGGATGTATGATTATTTGGATAAACATCTTCCTCGTATTTAGATCGAATTATCGTCTTCGGTGGTTCGATTTTAGGTTTTCCGTCGCGAGAATATTCAACGTATCTCTCTGATTGTCCATAAACCAATTCGGCCGGTGGTGATTGAAGATATTCCTCTCCGCCATATTTCTCTAAGATGCTTTGTTTTATTGAAGTTTTATGTTTAGTCTTTTGGGTTTGGTGCTCTCTGCGAGTGATTTCCATTTTTGTTGGTTCGGCCTGAAGGTGAATATCAACACCTTTATCTCGAGCCTGCCAAGCGAATAATTGAGTTTGTGCGACTTTAACAGCATCACCTGAAAATCGAACATAATTTTCACCAGCATAAGGAAGATCAGAAGGATCTTTTGATGTATTTTTATAAGGATTGTCTCTCATGGAACGAGTTTTCGGATCATAATAAGCAGAATCAGGATCTAAATTTCGAAGGTATTTGGCTGTGTCCTCTCTGATTCTAAGATTTCTCACAGTAATTCTTTGTTTAGAATCTACTTTTGTACCAGGCATATCAATATGATCGGCGTATTTATCTTCTTCATCGGAATCAGAATCCGAATCCCCTTTTTCTTTAGATTCGGTTACCTCTTTTTCGACCAATTCTTCTTTTAATTTCTCTTCTTTTAGTATTTTTTTTGCCTCTTCAAGTTTTTCGTATTCATCAACAACGGCTTTGTACATCTGAGGACGATAGCCATTCCACCGATCTCTTTTCCATCATAATCTAAATTAAGTTTAGCTACCTCGACGTCATCTGGAGCTGTAACAATCCCCGATACTTTGGCTGGAATCTTCCTTGGCTTTTCGAAACAAGATTTTCGATCATGTCCCATGGCTCCACAGTTCTCACAAGCTCCAGGTCTATACTTGGTAGCAATTTTGTTTGTTGTTCCTCGTTGGTACCATTCATCAACACGAGCAATCTTGGATGCATTTTCATCTTGTGGTCGCTGATGTTTTAATGTTGGTCCAGAAGAGCCATAGTACCAAGGGGTGATGGAAATATACTGTGGAATGTGAGGGTTAATGTCTTTACCATCTTCATCGACAAGAGCTGGAACTGTACCCGCTTTCCGCAATTCCTCCAATTCCTTTTCCTTTTTAAAATCTTCTCGTGAACGTTTTTTAGGCTCATCCTCTGGAAAATCAGAGCCTCGAATTAGTTCAGATACTGGTCTCTGTTGAATCGACATTTTGACAAAAAGCGATCCTTGATGACACAAAAAAAGAAATACTAATTTGCTATGAGATTGAAAATTAAAAAAAAATCAACGAGAGAAAAATGTAAACAAAAACAAAGAGGAAAAGAGAACAACCAAAGCGCCACCGCTTAGAACTAAAAGTAACTAATCAAAGAAATTTAAAAAAAATTCTCTTTTTTTTTGTTCTGCACTTGTCATTATTATTGTTAATTAACAAACAAATTACAAACAATTAGGTCACTGGAAGAAAGTGAGAGGAAGAGGATGATTAACATAACTTGATTTGGAACCCGATTAATGAGAGATGATGGTGTTGTTATAATACGAAATTTAATTTAATTCCAACTCGTTTTCCAATTGAAAAAGTTTAATCAAATTTTTCGTGACAACAATTTAATCATTTCCCACGAAGAAAACAATTTACTAAATCATATTGAATTGTAAAGAAAACAAAAAGATACATAACTTGTTAATTTAGTTGTTTTCTTCTTAATTCAATTCTATTTTTCTATTCTTAATTGTAAATCATTTCTAATTTCTGATTCTATCTTGATTGTCTTTTCTTTACCAGAGTCATTCGTTTTGTGCAATTGGACAATTGCAACTAAATTAAAATCACAATCAACGAGGTTAAAGGTTAAATTATCATATTTATCATCAAGAATCTTGATTCAAGATGATCATTTACAGGATCAAATTGTTATTTAATTACTTTTTATCACTAATCGTGATAAGAGACTTTAATTGTTTCGTTATTGCTGGTGAAAAGAAAAGTTAAATTAAGAGATGAGCGCGATTGATATTAATTGTTTGATTTAAGATTGTTTTTCTTGGTTAACAATCAACTAATTTGGTTAAATGGAGGCTGATAGAAATGATAATCACGATGATTATTGTTAAATTACAGGAACGACAATTAACATTTCTCCGGATTTCCAGTAAGAGGAAACAATTAACTTTTCAGATGCGATATAATTATAATACCACATTGAATGTCAATCAAATTTGATTAATCCATTTTAGTGATTACAATCAACTACGACAACAACAGCAACAATTTGATCAGCAAGAAGGAAATCAAATGATTAAGATTAACTAACCTTAACTTATTAATCAATTGTTGATGATTTGGACATAAATACCTTCCTGTTTTCTTACCCTGATCATTAATTGATTGTGTAATTGTTTACAACCACAATTTAAATTATTGATCTGAATGTTTATTATTATGATTAAGATGATTGTTATTGGTTAAATTGTTAAAGGTTACGGAATGAGAATCAGAAAATATATTCTGATTAGTTGATTGTAGTTGATGAAACAATTCAATTTATTTGATTGGCATTAAATGATCATCATTATAATCAGCACTCTATGTGTGATAATTAATTTAACCAAATTGTAAACCAGGCCAGGTCAGGTATAAACCATCAAATGTGTCACTTTAAATTGTAACAATTAACAGACAATCATGATGATGATTCCTTAAATGATGATCACACTCGGTCAGCCGGAAGTGGAAATGTACTTCCTCTGGGCTGATGAAGATAACGATTAAGATGATGAAAGTTATTCAATTACTTATTTACCTGTGCGAATTAGCCTTGAGCAAGATGAGAAATTAAATCAGTTAACTAACGTTGATTAAGGTTAAACAATTTAAAACAATTATTCCTCCAACGAGAAACACACACAAACTAATTTAATGTATTAATTTAATTGTTAAACTTGATTCCGGCTTTGAATCAATGTGAGAGTTTAATTTGATATTGTTGGGAAATAATTTTATTTTATTTAATTATTCAATTAATTATCAATGTTATTACATCATTTAAATCATAATTCACCAATTAATTGAGTTTCGTTGTTGATTATTATCTCTTAATTATGGAGCAAAAACTTGCCAACAATTAGTGTAAACTAGAACAATAATTATCTTAAACTTGGCTGACAATTAATTGCTGATAATTTATGTTTGTGGTTGTTAATCAAAAATGTCCATCATTTAATTGGTCAATTATCGAGTTGTACAATTAATCAAATTAAAGTTAAACATCATTAAAGTTTAAAGTCAATTTAACTAAACAAAAAACAATCTTGATAATCATTAACAATTAACAGTTTGAATGTTATTTCGGGTTAATCACAATCAAAGTACAATTTAAACAATAATAATAATAATTAACTCTCATCTCATGATAAACAATGAATAATCTAATATTTCATTAATGATTGTTGATTAAATTAACTGTTAATTTTAGTAATTTGATTAAATGATTTTTAATCAACGTTCACATTCACTGATCTTGATTGAGTTAATCAACTTAAATTGTTTATTAATCCAATAGGTTTGCTAATTTTTCAGCTTCCTCATCATCTTCATCACTTAATCAACTGGAATAATGTTGCAAATTAAATTTCAATCTTAAATAGTAGTTAGTTAATTGTTGGATATGCTTCGGGTTAGATTACATTTATGAGAGAAGACATTTTAATGATTTAAATTGTGGAAATAGTGATGAAGTTAATGAGAAGATGATTAACTTTGATTGTAGAACTTTTTTATTTTCTGATTACATTAACTATCCACTTATTATTATAATTAACTGTCATTTAATTTACTTTTGATTATATTTGTGGTTATGATTGTATTTTAAGATCTACAAACATTTACATTTCTTTGTCAGAGTAACAATTAATTTACAACAATTTGTATATTCTTAGTAAAGTTAATTGTCAATTTTAGATTGTAAATAAGTATGAAATTAAAATGAGAATTAAAAAACAATCAACTATTGAATCTAATCAATTGGTATGGATTAAGATGAAGCTAATTGATTAGATTTGGTTCTTAAATTGGATTAACTTTTGGTCAGTTTTAATTAACGTTCACAATTTGATAATCTTTCCAAATATTTACTTACAATCAATTGATTTAATTGATCGGTTTAATTGTAATAATATTATCCTCCATTCAATAAGTGAATACAATGTTCATAGTTTGACAATCTTGATTGTTTTATTGAGCTAATAACAATTAGTCAGTTAATTTTGATGAAAAAAAGATTAAGAGATTGGAATAGCTTGTTAATTGCTGATCAATTCTCGTAAGTTAATCACAATCAAGTATATTGGGGAAAAGAAGGACAATTAAAAAAGGGCAAAAATGAATTCACATTATGTTTGATTTTGATTGAACTTCTTCTTGTTAAATTGTTTCTAATTAGTGTTGATTAAACTGATTTTATGGAATTGGAATGATAAATGTTAACAACAATTAACATAAATGGGAGATTAAAAAGTTTCGAGTATTAAATCATCTTCATTTTCTTCCGGTTAATCAAGAGAAATGAGATTAAGTTTGGAGAGTTCAATCAGCTGATTTAGGAATTTTCATCTTTTTCTGTGTTTCTCTTTGGGTTTTCATCGAGATTAATTTGATTTATTGCTAATCATTGACATGATCAACTGATTTGATCCCAATTAGATGTCATTGGAATGTTGAGCAAAAGGTGAAAGTGATTTGTTCATCTTTAAGGAATAACGATTAGCTGAATATTCATGTTGATGGTGAAAGAAAAAGGTGAGAAAGTAAAAGGATGAAAAGAAAGAGAAAATATAAAATAGCCTGAGGGTAAATTTTCTTCTTTCTTTTTGATTTCTTCTTCTTTTATAGCTTATTCTTATTGAGAATCTTTTTCGCCCAAATTGTTATTCGTGATTTAAGTGAAGCTGAATATATAAACAGTATCATGGCGATAGATAATATATAACCTACTTCCGCAGAAAAGAAAATAACATTTACCTGATCCAGAAGTAAGAAAATAAAATGGCCTGAGGGTGAAAGACGCAGAAAACTTGAACTAAGGGATGGAAAGTCCAAGAAGATGAAAAAAACAAGAAGGAGGAGGAGGTTCGTCATCATGATCTCCACCACCAGTAACCTCTCTCATCCCTTTTCACCTTTCATCTCTTGATGATCTTCCCCCTTAAATCATTTACCGTTAGACCTAATTTACTTTCTCTCTCTCTCTCTCTCTCTCTCTCTCTCTCTCTCTCTCTCTCTCTGGGTTGATCCTTCCGACTCAAATTTTGGGTATAAAAGTGATGACCACTTGATCAACATCACCATTCAATCATCTCAAGTTTTACAAACAACAATCAACAACTTGTTTTAGTTTCATCTCCAAAAGGATAACCTCTTACAACCAACATCAAGTAAGATTAAGATAATGAAAGTGTTTCAATCAATATTCAATTCACTAATTGTTACTCTGTGTTAATCTAAACATAATTATTACCACCACAACTTTGGATTACTCTTGACATTCGTGATTTGTGTTCATTTAGTTCTAATTCAGTGAATTGAATGTGATTCGAAAACTTTTCTTTCTCTCTTTTTAATTTTTTCTCTCATTTCTTTGGGATTCTCTCTAATTATCTTGTTCTTCCTCTTCTTCTTACCATTTATAACACAGAATGCGTTCAATCACAATCTGTCTCTTGATCGCCGCCATCATGATCATCCTTGTTACTTTCGCTCCATCAGGAAATGAGGCCTCACGAAGGAAACTCATGAAAATCAAGAAACTCGCCGCTCTTGCCCTTCTCCTTAAATCCAAGAAAAAGTACATCTTCCCCATTCCACTCCCACTCCCAGTTCCAGTTCCGTAAGTATTTCAAGATGTCCGAAGAAAACTCGATTAGCCTCCATTGAACAATCCTAATCCTAATCTTAATCTCTCCCTTTAATCCTCACAATGACAAACACAACAGAGTCATCAAGAAGACCGTCCAAGCCTGGCCTGAACCCTCATGGTCTGAACCCTCATGGCCAAGCAGCGACTCTTGGTCCGAGCCCCAAGGATGGTGGTAAATGTTAACCATTTAATTACATAAATCATCATTTGGTAAAACTTTTTTTAATAAACAATCAACAAAATGGTAGCTGGATTATCTGAATTAAACTCTCATGTTTCAAACTCATCATCATTCATTAACAAACAAAAACCTCATCATCATCCTGATTTCATCTTCATCATCACCATCACTTCATCAACATAAATTATCATCAATGTTATTTTTTTTAAACCACACAAACAATTAGCTGATTTTCACCCTTTAAAAGATTAACTTTGTTAAAATAAATCAAAATCATCAGAGAAAAATCCCTTGTTTTCTAATTCTGTACAATCAATTTAATGAATTAATGTCTAATTCTTTAAACCGATTGACTTAATTGTTAATTAACTGTAGTCACACTGGTCAATTGTAATAGAGGAATCATAATCAAAGGAAAAACCATAAAATGCTCAAGTCAACAATCAACTTAATTTCAGAAACCGTTTTTTTCTTTAAATAATCATCATTCACTCTGCGAGTGTCAATATGATATTTTAAATAAATTGCCAATAACATTAATTAAACAAAAACAATTCGTCTCATGATTTATTAAATTGCCGAAAACAAATTAACTGAAATGATCTTTTCCCTTTTTTAAAAGTCGTTCAATTAGAAAGTTTTGACTAATTAATTACTACAATTAATAGTTTTCAATAAAGTTAATTGTTCTTCTTCGACTTTTTAATTCGGTTCGGTTTTAATTGTAATTAACTTTCGATACATTCACTTGAATCGATGTTCGATTGTCAACCAGACACGTGATTCTTTTTGGCGGTAAAATTTTCTTTCTCTTTTTTTTCTCAAGATTTTCTGTTCTCTCTTTTAATTGTTTTTAATTTAGATTTAATTTTCTTTTATTAATTGGATTGCATGTTTTTAATTCTAACACTATGAGTTCCCTTCAGCATGCGAAAGAAAATAATTACAATCAATTCACGAGATTAATTGACTCTTTGGAAGATCGGGTAAGATTTTTGTTGTTTTTTCTTTTTCTATTCTATTTATTTTGTTTTCTTTGTTTTCAGTTTTTGTGATTCTTGTTTTTTTTTCTAATTAACTTTTTTTTCTATTCTTTAATTTTTCTTTTCTAGTATAAGTTGAATGAAGGTGATGCCATTGTTGACATTAATAGTTTACAAGTTGTTAGGACCAGAAGTGGTCGTGTTTCCAAACCAAGAATTACCCCTAAATCAAAACCCGCTGCGACTTCGAGTGTATCAAAGTCAAAAAGAGGTCGAAAACAATCGACTGGAACTACCAGACAATCAACTGGATCATCGATTCCACTTTCACAATCAACTCAAGATTCTTCTGGCTTTGAATCAGCTACTTATGATTCTCAAGAAGGCTCACCATTAGAGCCAAATTTAGTCGTTGCTCAAAGTATTCTTTTTGATCGACCAGCACAATTAGAGGCTACTAAAAATTTACTCTCAATCCTGGAATCAGGAGGACCTTTGAGTAGTAAAACTGCTTCTAATCTTTATGAGCGATTTAGAGTTACTCTTGGACGAGATGAGCTTCCTAACAAAGCAAGTGTGCGGCCTTTTTTTACCTTTCATGAAGATCATGACATTGGTGTTACTCTACTTTTCGATACTCCTGATCTTACCCCATGGACTCTCATTTGTCTCAAATTTTTCGGTGAAGAAAACCTTGGTTTATACCAGCAAATTTATAGACATGTCCTTGTAGAAGCAGCAGCAAAAACAAATAATGGTTCAGCCAAAAAGATGATCACATCAACACCCACAACACGATCATCGGTTAACACACAAAGATCAGAATATCTTGCCGTTGTTGCGGTTCGTCGAAGTGGCGGATCCAAGCAAATGGACATGGATTCTGAAAGTGAATTTGGTAATCATCTTAATCATACTCGTCCTGCAAATCAACCTGCAGCAAATAAATCACCGTCAGGCATGTCAAGTGCTTATACCTCGCCAACATCAATTCCTGTTTATCATCCTTCAATTGATAGTATTGTTTACGAAAATGACAAGCAACTCGCATCACTTCAAAAATTAGCCGAAATTATGAGACAAAACGACGATGAGAGTAAACAAGTGAAAAGAAAATTAATCGCTCGAGCTGGTAGAGCATTGGGACACGATTCGATGCCTTATGGTGAAAACATTTATCCATTTTTCACTTTTCACGAGAAAGGAGAGATCGGGGTTAGCTTTTTATTCAACATCAAAACTCTTAGTCCTTGGACAACCATTTGTAAACTTTACTTTGGCGGTGAAATACTTAATATATGCAGTGATATTTATCGAATGATGAACCGTCCACAAATAGAATCACTCGAAAAATTGGAACAATTAGCTATCAGTTATCGTCAACAACCTCAACAATCGAAAATTTTACGAGCTGCCATCTCTCAGGTTCACGATGAAAGATCAAAGGAAAGTTGCCAAAAGTCAAATCAACAGCCATCTATGAGTACACCAATAACCCGATCATCTAGAGCGTTTTCACCCGTGGTAATCAACAACACTGCTCCTCCATATCGTCGGTCTATCCCACAATCTCCAGCCTCATCATTATCAGGATCAATTGAAGATTCACCAATACCTGAACCGAGAAGAGCTCGAATGCTTTGCCGAACAACAAGCGTCCGTAGAGTGACACGACCACGGAAATCAACAGTTCTCGTTGATATCAACAATGGTAACATCCAATCAACTGGTATCGATTTAGCCTTAACTCCTCCCGCTCTCAAAAAAACACGTCGATCGACAACCTTCATGGTTGGAAAAGGTTTCTCAGAACCAAGTTTCGCTCTCGCCAAATCAGGTCGCAAACCAGCGCTGTCCAGAGTCAATACCACTCATCATCTGTAATTTTCCATTAATCATCCAAAATCTAACTCTCTCTCTCTCATCCATACACACCACCGATTCATCAGGCATAGTTTTCTAATTTGATTTATCTAATCATCGTCAGAAAATTTTCATCCTTCCAATGTTTTTGTATTATCTTACTGAATGTTTAATATATTTAATTGTTGTGAATGATTAAATATATTATTCTAGTAACTTATTACAATTACATTATTTTAATATAAAGAAATGTTTACGCTCATCAAATTAGAGGAAACTTTTTAATTAGTGATTTGACTCTTTCATTTTTCTTGAAGTATCATTACAAAAACAAAGTTTATCTTATTACATTTAATTAATTTCTATTAGGAATCAATGTTTCTATTTGATTACGAGTGTTTAATTTGATGATTTAAATTCATTAAGTAACAAATCATAACAGTTAAATTGTTTCCTTTTTATGCCAAAAATTGAGAATGGAAAATTAAGTTGATAGAATTAACAATTTATTCTTATGACTTTCTTTTCTAATATTATCCATTTATGTAACAACAATTAATTAATTTCCATGTTTGCATGTTGATACTCCCAAATTAAGACAGAACTCGATTTAAATTGTGATAATCCCTTGACGATTCCTATGCTGATTAAAATTCCCTTGATTGAATATTTTCTTAAACTTTCGTACAGAAATTTAATTACTTTTCTTTCACAATAATCATTGTCCTCTAAATCATTTACAATTAACTGATTGCCCGATCTCTTTACACTTTCTTCTCAATTTAAACAAATTGTAAAAAGAAAAAGCTTCCAGCAAGGTTATCATAATTTAAAATAATTCATCCAATTAGTAAATTATCGCGAGTTAATTTTCAGCCTCAATCTTGAGAAAAGTTATCAAGAGTAACAATTAGTTTAATTTCTGAGAATTAAGAAAATTTCAATTCTCCTTGGACCTCAACCGATTGTTGTTGATCAATTGTGATATTAATAGAAAATCAAATGATTTCAATAATTTTCGATATTCTAATCAACGTAATCAACTGGGCTGATTAACGTTCTAACATAATCTGAAACTCTAGTGACGTAGATTGTTAACAAAATTACAATTTAAAGTAAACAATTAAGAGAAAAACTAATTAATGTGTAAACAAAAGAGAATCAAGAAAAATTGGAAAGGTTAAAAATCTGATTAACTGAAAACTCAATTTAAGAAAATTAATCAAGTAAACGATCACAATTTAAAAGAAGAAGAAGAAAAAAACTAATCAGCTCAACGATTTATTGATTGATTTTCAACGAAACTGTTGATTCAAACTCGGAGCCAAAGAGAAAGAGAGAGAGAGAGAGAAAGGGAAAGAATAAATTCTCAAGAGTAACTGGATAATCATGGAGATAAAATAATTGAGCAGAAGCATGAGAGAGATTGAGAGAGAAGGAAGAAAGAGAATTAAAAGGAAGACAGGAAAATAGAAAGAAATTGAATAAAAGAATAGAATGTAAATGTAAGAGAAGAAAAGAAAGGAGAAAATATTGCAGACAGAAAGGTCGAAAGAGAGAAAGAGAAAGAAAGAGAGAGAGAGAGAGGGTGAGATGGAAACGTAGTTGTTGATATGAAGAAAAATAAAAAGCTCATATTCTAATATTGTTGATTATTGTTCGTGTTTTCATCTCTCTCTCACTTTCTCTGATATTTACATGATGGAAGAGGAAGCAAGTCGCCGAGAGTGTGAGGCTTATGTTCAGCGACATAATATCCAAGGAATTCTGAAAGAATGTATCGTTAGTTTATGTGTATCTCGTCCAGAGAATCCAATTAAATTTCTCCGAGAATATTTCCAAAAATTGGAAAAGGTCAGTATTTTGTTTCTCTCTCTTTCACCCATTTTCTTTTCTCTTCTCTTTCTCTTCCTATTCCTCTTATTCTCTGATTAATTTCTTTCCTTTTTTTTCTTCTATTCTCCCATTTTTCAAAATTTCTCTCTGTCTTTTTTCTCTGTCGATAAAATAACCCAAAATTCTCTTCATATATACTGTGTGTCTCTCCCTTTTCTATTTTCAAGATTCTCTCTCTCTCTCTTCCTTTCTTTCTTTTTTCTTCTATTGGTACATAATTAGAGGACCAATACTTTGAGACAACTATGAAAATAATGTAAGAAAGAGAGAACATGAAGGAAACAAGAGTTTGGAACCCAAAAGAAAGACAGAAAATATCATCTTCTCTTACATTATTATCTTCATTAATGTTAAGATGTTAGAGGAAAAAAAATGGTTTATGTTGCCAAAAGTTAACCTTATTTTTTTCTCAATCTACTGAAGAAGATGAAAAATCTTCTCTTTCTTTTTCTCTTTCTTATCTTCCTCTGTTTCAATATTTCATTTTCTATGTAAGAAATACCATTTAGCTTTCTAACTATTCAGTTGACCCTGTTACCCAAATAAACAGGGTATCCAATGTTTAGTTACATTGGTTAATTTTTCTCTTATTTTCTTTTTTTGCTCTTGTTTTTTTTTCTATTTTATTTAATATTCTGTTTTAATTATTTCTCATTAATTTAACCTCATCATCATCGCCATCATCAATATTTATATGTGTCTCTCTTTTTCTCATCTCATCTCACCTTGTCTCTCTTTCTCCTTCTCTCTCTCTCTCTCTTCCAATCTCTAACCATACAAAACCACAACTTCCACTTTCTCTCTCTCTCTCTATCTCTCTTTCATTTCTCTCTATCAGTACCTTACATACATTCAATTATTAACTAACCTTAATACCAACCACCATTTTCTGGTTTCTCTTTCTTCTCTTCTCTTTCCTTTCCTCTTTCGTTGTTACAATTCTATTCTCTTTTATATTCTGTGTATAAATAATCATTTCTCTCTCTCTCTCTCTTTCTCTCTTTCCCTCTTAATCATGGACGGCCAATATTCTAAATGTAAAATTCCATCTGCATCTACATCTTCTGTTTCAACCTCATCTTCTATCGGATTGTTATCATCACAGGAGGAATCAATTCTTCACCGTCAACAGCAGCAACAGAATAAAGCACCAATCTCACCTCCCGGTGATGAAAGGGAAGACGATGTATCCCCAGTCCCAACAATTGCTCAAAGGACTCGACGTGGTGCTGTAAGCGCTGAAACATATTCTGAAGAAGATGCTACAACTTATGTTAAAAAGGTTGGAACTGTTAACATGGTTAATACCCAGAGAAATATCTCCCTCTCTATCTTTATAAACACTCATCTTAATGAAAACAGAGAAAGAAACAAGCAAGGCTATCACTATAAAAGAATAATATTTAATTGTGTTCCTGATTGTCTATTCATTGATCATTAATCATCTCCGGTCATCAAGCTGAATAATAATACAAGAGAAGAGAAAAATGATAATTTCATTTTCATTTTTTCAACGAATTTGCTCATCTAAACATATCTTTCTCTGTTTAGTGAAATATTCGTCCTCTAATTTGACCTGATTAACGTTATTAATTTGTCTTTGATTTGATTCTTTTTGTTTCTTTAATTGTTATTTTCTAGTTGACATTTATTCCATTTAACTACCACCACATCATTAATTGTAACTTTCTTTTTTCTCTTTTCTCTTTCTCTTTCTCTTTTCACTTTTTTTTGCTTTTCTCTCTTCACTTGTATTTCTCCTTCATGGTTCATTCATCGATAATATCAACATATCATCATGACGATCATCATCTCCATACCGCCGTCAAAATTATCACCATCATCATGATTATCAACACTATCAACCAGGTTGTTCCCAAAGACTACAAAACAATGGCTGCTCTCTCAAAAGCCATTGAAAAGAATGTACTTTTTAAGCATCTGGATGAAGGAGAGAGAAGCGAAATATTTGATGCGATGTTTCCTGTTGTTCATAAACAAGATGAAATCATAATTAAACAAGGAGATGAAGGAGACAATTTTTATATCATTGATGAGGGTGAAGTCGAGGTAAATTGATTGGAATCAATTAATTTAATTGAGAGATTAAGTACCATTTGCATTGTGGATTGTGTTGTGTACTTGTGTTTATAAAGCTCCAATGAGATATTTCTTACCTTCAATGTTGCATCTTTCTCTCTCTCTCTCTCTCTCTCTCCCTCTATTTATCTCTTTCCTTTTCTCTTTCTTTCCACCAAAAACAACCATGATTATCCAAGGACGTCTCAGTCTCACTCTTATTTTTCTTCTTCTCTTTTCTGTCTTTTTTATTTCCTTTCTCTGTCTTTCTAATTCTCTTTTCTCATGCCCTCTCTTTCTCTTTCTCTTTTTGTTTACTGTAATCACATTCATCTTCAATTCTCTTCTTCTTTTCTTCCCCTCTCTCCCTATTCTGATTATTCTCCAATCCATTTCCATACCAATTTCTTTTCTCTTCCGTCGTTTAGTTTATTCTTTTCTCTTTGAAAGTTTTATTTCTCCTTAAAATCCAACTGATTGATTTTATTCAGATGCGATTTTCTCTACATGATTTCAGATTTTGACTTTTACTCATTGATTCAGGTCAAAAAATCATATTACTCAATATTTTTCCTTTCCATTACTTTTCACTTCCATAGTTACCTTAAGTTTTTTTTCGTAACATCATCGATGTCTTTGGCTTTTATTGATGTAACATTTTCTCTCTTATTTAATTTATCTTTCCTTCTTAGGTATTTGTCAACAATAACCTAGTAATAACCATCATTGAAGGCGGAAGCTTTGGTGAATTAGCTCTTATCTATGGAACACCAAGAGCAGCTACAGTCAGAGCCAAAGTAGATTGTAAATTATGGGCCATTGATAGAGACACATATCGACGTATCCTTATGGGAAGTACTATTAGAAAGAGGAAATTGTACGAAGAATTCTTGAACAAGATTTCCCTGTTTGGTAAGTTATCAGAAAGAATGAAAAAATGATGATGATAAACAGCAGGAAAAAACGATACTTAAATGATGAAAGATATAAAATATGAGAGTGTTTAATTTTTTTGATTTGTTCTATTGTTTTAATTGTTCTTATCTTTATTTTTCATTTCACCTTCACATCAAACAATCATCATCATCGCCATGGTCACTTTTAAATAATCATCGTATTTGATTATTCCATCAATCACTATTTCATCTTTAATCAACCGGTGAACTTTTGTTGAATCACCACCTACTATGATGATCGGAACAGAGAGTCTTGATAAATGGGAAAAATTGACCATAGCTGATGCTCTGCAACCAGTAATTTATACTGACGGTGAAGTTATCGTTGAACAAGGTCAACCTGGAGATGATTTCTACATTATTGAAGATGGTACAGCGATTGTGTACCAACGTCGAGTAGACAATGAACCCCAAACCGAAGTGAGTAGGCTTGGACCAGGAAAGTATTTCGGTGAGATCGCTTTACTTTTGGATCGACCTCGAGCTGCTACCGTAGTTGCCAGTGGACCACTAAAATGTGTCAAACTTGATCGAGCTCGATTCGAAAGGCTCCTTGGACCTTGTTCGGATATTCTCAAACGCAATATGGAACATTATAATTCACTGATTTCATTATCTGTTTGAAGATGATTGTGTTTTTTTCTGAAAAGTTTTATTTTGAAGGAGTTTTATTGTATTATTACAAATTGTTAAATTGCTCCTTGGGATGTCAAGAATTAAGTTTCACTCCTTTAATCCTGTGTTATCTTCATCTCCCTCCTTCCCTCTCTCTCTCTCTCTCTCTCTCTTTACTTACTATGTTAGGTCTTCATCGACATCATCACCACCATCATCATTAACATGTATCATCAGTATCTCACCAATTCACTGATTTCTCTTTTCTTCTTTGTCCTCTAAACTATTGACGTTACAATGGGACAGAGATTAACTCTGAATACATGTAATATCTTCTTGTCATCTTCTTCCACTTTTCTTCTTCTACTTTCTCTTCATTTTCTCTTTTCAACACTTTTTGCACACCAACATCAAGCAAACATAAATTGTTACTTCACTAGTCTTATGTTTTTCCTTCTATCTCTCTGGGATCATCATCAACCATTAATATTGTCCTGATTCAAACAAACACCCAAATAAATACAAAAAAAATTACAAACAACCAAAAATTGTGACAAAAAAAAGATGAATGATACAATTTATATGCATGAATAATCATTTTTGATAGCAAACATTAATCCGTTAGATTGGATTTAGAAAAAAATGATGTGTAAAAGATAATTATACAAAAAAGTTCGGTTATGATTTAAAGTTGGCCTCATGATCACAACATATTGTATCCGAAACGTTGTTATTGATGATTAAAGCTCGATGCAAAACCAAAAATACAGAACAGTTGACAATTTATAATGTTTTTGTTTGAAATAACAATCAACAAGGTTCACTTTTCTTATGGTGATTGTTGATTACTTCATAACCGGGATCAGCAAATAAATCGTCATCATCATCGGTCGATTGTCTTATTAACTTTTCTATCTGTACATTTGGAGAAATCGATGATGATTTTGAAGGTCCACCAATTGAATTTGGACCAGAACTGTTTGTAATTTTATCGATGACCGCATAACATGGTTCACCTTTAGATTGATGAGAATTGATTACTTCATAGCCTGGATCAGCAAATGCATCATCATCATAATCATCTTCCGTCGATTGTCGCGTAACTTTAATTCTATGTACAGTAGAGACATTCGATGAATTTAAAGGTCTAGTAGTTGTAATTGAGGTTTGATTTGCACTTGAACTTGTATTAGGATTTTTATCAATAACAGCATAACAAGGTTCACTTTTTTGTTGATGGGCGTTGATCACTTCGTAACCAGGGTCAGCGATTGAATCTTCATCATCATCAGTCGACTGTCGAGTTACTTTAACAATATGTACAGGTGAAGTGACCGGTGACTTCGAAGGTCTATTAACTTCTGGTCGATTGATGTTCTTATCAATAACTGCATAACAGGGCTCACTTTTCTGAGAATTAATTACTTCGTAACCAGGATCAGCTATTAAGTAGTCTTCATCATCTGATTGTCTCCTTTCCATTGGTTTACCAGGAACGGATATAATTGCTGATCCAGTTTCACTATCCCCTGAATTGTTGACATTTTTATCTATAACTGCATAACAGGGCTCACTCTTTTTCTGATGAAAATTGACAACCTCATAACCAGGATCAGCTGTTGAATAATCTTCATCATCACAGGCCTTCTATCAATTGGTTTTCCTGCAACTGAAACTATAGCAGAACCAATCTCACCATCTCCAGAACTATTGACGCTTTTATCTATAACTGCATAACATGGTTCACTTGTTTGTTGATGGAAATTGACAACTTCATAACCAGGATCAGCTGTTGAATAATCTTCATCATCCGATTGTCTTCTTTCAATAGATTTCCCTTGGACGGAGATAACTGCTGATTCAACTTCATCATCACCAGAATTGTTAAGGCTTTTATCTATAACAGCGTAACAAGGTTCACTTTTATGCTGATGAAAATTGACAACCTCATAACCAGGGTCAGTTATTACATCCGCTTCATCACTTGACTGTCTTCCCAATTTACCATCATCAATGGTCGATGTGACAGAAGTGTTTGTGGCACCAGCGATTTCTTCATAAAAACATGACTCCCCTTCCCCGTCAACCTCATTATAATGATGCTCAAGAATGGCTCGTTCCGCCAATACCTTTGACAACGGCTCTCTCACTGAGATCTTATTATAGGAAATTTCCCCACCAAGACTACGGTCTTCATCAACTGTAGCATGATTATTGGAATTAATTCTCTCAATGGGCTGGCTAGTGTTCACTTGAGATGTTGTACAGACAGTGGCGGTGGTGGTTGTCGGAAGGGAAGACCTAAAAGGAAAGAAACGATCCCCTTTAGGGTTGGCGCGCTCATCAGAATCTCTGACAGGTGTAAATGAGCTTCGTTCCTTAAGAAGCCAATCACGACAGATACACAATCCCATGACCACAGAATCACAACAATTTACTTAAGAGTTAAATGGATCAAAATTTTATACTTCATCATCGAAAAGCTAATTAAATTCCAATTGTTAGAAAATTGAAAGTAAAAGTTGATAACCAAATAAAGAAAAACAAATTGTTTTGGAAACAAAGAAAATGGCAAATGATTCAACTCAACGGAACAGGAAATTCGGAGAGAGTGACATCTGGTGGGGTAAGGGGATAAAGAGAAAAGAATCGCGGTAAGTTTGTTTTCATTTAATCGATGATAACGGAAATAAATTTAGAATGGAAAAAGGTTTAACATTCTCGAATCATAGTGATTTATTTTACGAATCGAGAAAATTAATTTATATTTTGGTGTTTTACAGTTTGTGTAAAGATTCAGAAGAAATATTGAAAACAATCTATGCTTTAGCTGGAACAGCCTGTGTTGGTGCCACGGTTTTAACTACTGTTTTCTGCTTAGGTTGATCGATTCCTCTCTTTAAACGAATAGCTGCAAGTTCAGCTTTTGTCTTATTCTTATTACGAGCGTACCTAAGATTACGAAGAAGTTTTTGGCAAACCTGAGAGAGAAAAAGAATAAGAGAAAAAAGAACAAAATCCACAGTTAATACAAACAGAAAACCACATGTAGAAAAAGAGTTGAAAAAAGAATCCAAATCATCAACATACTCCTTTCATTGATTCCTTTCTGAATCGTTTGGGCTTTTTGATACCATTTCTGTGATCTTTACGATCTACAAGTTAAAACACCAAGGCAAAAAAACAGGAAAACAATCAAATGAGAAAACAACCAAAAGAAAAAAAAGACATTTAGTTAATAAAGAACACAAAATAGAATCAAGATTTTGAATAACAATTAATATAAGATTTAAGAACTTACTTTGATTGTGATTGGTGTGATTCTTTGACTTAGCCATCCTAAATAATTAAATTAACTTTGTTAACTAAAAAGAGAACAATTTAGAAAACAAAAACTAAATTAATTTAATTACCAAAAATAACCGATTCAATTTAACCAAGAAAAATTTTCTTTCAACGGAACCGGAAGAAAATAAACAGCTCCATCTATGGAGAAGCGAAGAAACAAATTGAGCGGTAATTTCGTTTTAATCATTTGGGTTAATCAACCGAGTGAATTAGTTAATTAGTTAATTGGTGGAAATGGAAATTTAGAATAAATAATTTTCCACTTAGATCACAATTTATTCTAGTGGTTAATAATGTTTTGTTTTCGTTGTTGAATTAAAAGTGAATTTGGGTCAATTCTGGTAAACTGAAACATGAGAATAAATTTCAATTAAATTTAGTTTTCCTTTAATTTTTACACAATCGGTTGATTACAATTATTGTAAACGAAATATTTTTTTTAACTGAATTTACACAAAATCGAGATGATTGGTTAATCTTTAAGCTTTTCTACTTGTATTAACATCTCATCATTTTGTTATTGTTGTAGTTTGCTTGAGATTTAAAGTGATTGATTGTTGTTAATTGTTCTGGAAATTTGATTGGAACTAATTCTCTTTGGAAGGAGGTGATTCAGATGATGATTTCGCTGCTGCAACAATTTTCTCGTAATTAGTTTTAACAACATAACCAGCTAAATCTAAAATGTCTTCCGATTGTTTTGGATAACAAACTCCGGTAGCGATTCCAACACCAGCTGATGTGTAGAGTAATTTCTTGAAGAAACCTCGTCTAGATGCTAAAAGAAGGCCAAATAATCCGCTGCCAGTAATTGCCAATGCTTTGGGCACAGTGTTGGTTTCATCGGTAATATAATCAAGTGTGGTCATTGAATGAGCTTTGGCTGTTTCAAAAATTTCCTTTGCTCGACCAGTGAAACCATCAAGAAATTTAAGATTCTCCATTATAGCAACTCGAACGGTTCCAATTCCTTCTTCAATCATTCCTCGTTCACCAGTTTCTATTTTATCCATTGGTGGGTATGGATTACCATATAAAGGTAACTAAATTGGAGAAAGAAATTAAAAAAATCAAATCAAAAACAACCGAAGGAGAGAAACAAAATCAAAATCAACATCAATTGAAATTAAATCGTAATTTTTAGGTAACTTACCTGATCGATGGTCACCAATTTAGCTTGTTTACCTTTACAACAGGGTTTATCCCCTGAGCTTTTGTCATCACAGGTCATTTTAATTAACTAATTTAAACAGGAAAATCAATTGAAAAGGAAAACAGTTTGTTGACAGTTTGTGTTGACCTTGTTGAGAATAATCGAACCAAAGATCGATTTTAAAAATGAAACGAAATCGATTTTCGATTTTCCCGAAAATTGGAATTAGTTTCAAGAGTTAAAGTGAATCTTTTGAATCAAATTGATTAGGAATTTGTTTTAATCATGGTAAACAATTAACGGTATTTGAAAATATTCAAGTAAAATTTTAAGCTAAATGTTTCTGTTTAAAATAAATGGTCAAGTGCTCATCAGAAAATCAAAATCATTAAAGTTGTTGAATTGATTTTAGTAATTGAACTTCATCTGTTAATCTTATAATTATGATGAATAGTTTTTGGGATAATGTTCAAGAAGAAACCAGGATAAGCCTAAAAGCATATGAGCAGGTCGTGAATAAGGTGAATCCCGATCATGGCACCAAAGTAATTTCCTTGATTCTTCAATTGTTAACCTAATAGTTTAAGAAAATGAGAGAATGAATTGGTTTAAACGAATTAAATTTCAAAGAAAAAAGAAAAGAAAATTTTCCAAATCAATTAACTTACTCAACAACTTCAATTCTTTCATTGTCTATTCCACCTCCGAGTGTTTTTTGTTGTGAATCACTGGAAAAGGTAAAATAGAAAGTGTAAAGAAATTCTTGTAATTAGAGCCAATTAAAGCTAAACACGATAATCACTTGGGTTTAATTAATGAGAGAGAGAAAGAAAGAGAAAAAAATCTCACGTGACTTCGGCGAAATAAATAGCATGAAGTGAAGCCTGTAATCCAACACTGGAACGTGACGAACAGACAAATTGAAGAGAACTAAATAAAAAAGAGAAATAAGAATATAATCAGTTATTGATTAACCAATAGATAATAGATTGATTATTGCGAATTAATCAAAAATCTAACCTAACGGGAATATCATAACCCGTTTCCTCAAGAACCTCTTCCTTGGCAATTTGTTCAATGGTTAAACCTAAAGACAAAAAAAAACCAAAACAAACAAAATTTATTAACAGAATTCATCATTTTAAAGACCGATTATTTTCAAAATTGTATCAACTAATTACCTGGTTTATCAATGATCCCGGCACACATTTCCAAAGTGTATCCATTAATTGCTGGGTCAACTTCAATTGTCCCCTTTTCCAGGTCAAAATTTTTCGCTGATGAGATAATCAATGAAGGTCTAAATTGCTTAACATAAATTAATTTTTTTCTATCCTTATTAAACAATATGATTCCAACACTGTCATGAGCTTTGACACAATCCCAAGCTAATTGTTTGTTACCATCCTAAAAAATTGATTAAAACAGAAACAATTACATCAATTAATTAACCAACAAAACAATTAAATCTACTTACAAGTGTATAATTTAATCTGATCGGTTTAAGATAAGCTGATCCAGAAGAGCCAATTGGTGAGATACTGATCACTTTGGGCTCTGGATTGTTGGACATTTTGATGGAACACCGTTGATTGTAGTAGCCGATAAAACAAGTTCGATTAAGAAAATTTCTATTAAACATAAAAGAGTAACAATTAATCACAAGAATGAAAATCAAAACTAAAATTAAACTGAATAAATGACCAGGCGTTCAAATCGATTTAAGAAAAAGAAAACAAACTATTAATCGAACTAAAAATCGATTTTTAATCTGAGTTGAATTTCGTTTGATAAATAAAAAATTATTGAACAAAATGTTAATTAAGTAAAAAGTTTAATCATTTATTGTGAGATGTTTTCTTCATTGATTAATTGTTATTTTACAATTAGAAGATTACAATTGCTTAGAGACAAATGATTTTGCCAATTTTTGCCAAAATTTTCACTATCAAATGAATCATTAATTGTTATCAAATACAAATGAATTTCCAATGGATTATCAATTAATTATTCATTAATTAGTTGATTTATATTTATAATTTTACATTTAAATTGTTAATTAATCTTTAAGTAGACAGAAAATTGTTGATTTAAAAGGCACAGAGTAAATTAATTCCTTTTTTTCCCCACCAACATGGAGAAGGAAAAAAAAAGTTCATCATTATTTTGATCATCATCCTGAAGATTGACCATCACCAAGTCCAGTTAATAATCATCATCATCATGAGGAAAAATTTCAAGTCAAAGTATATAAAAAAAAGTCAATAAGCCCTGAAGGTTTAGAGAATACAAGTTGATCAGATGATGAAGTGACCATGGCCAGTGGAAGATATCGGAATCGAGAATCGGGAATTGAAAGTTATCATAATTCAAGGAAGAAAAATGAAAAAGAAATGATAACAATTTGGAGCAAATTTCGAGGATGATGATGATGAAGATAAAAAAATTGCCATCTTCCAATAAGATCTAATAATTATGTAGAGGTCACTTTTATATACGAAACAATTTATTCGAGTTGGAAGCTGAATACTGGCCATCATCATCATATAAGTTTCCAAGATGACCAATACAATTTATCAGTTATTTTTACCTCTTCCTTAATCATCATCATAATCATTTTGATGACGATGCCTAATAATGATCATCATTATCACCATAATAACAAGATTCCTTGTGAATCATAATAATGACCATGTTTATGTTCATGATGATGATGATGATCATCATCATTTAGTATTAACTAGCTGGTATTTTGTTGATGATGTTGATGATATAATTGCAAATGAATCAACTGAAAACACCATGAAATGTGATCCAATACCACCAAGTACAACTTGAGCTGATTAAACCAACCATTAGAAGTGTATGTTGATTAAATTGTTGATTTGATTTATAAAAATGATTTGAATGTTGCATCGCCGCTGGATTATCACCATTAAGCACATTTACCGTTATGTTGGCCGGATCAGCGTATTGTGGTACTGGTCGGCAAGAATAATTACCAGAATCAGATGAACGGGAATTATGAATTTCAAGTGTACTAATCGTAATTGGACCTTTAATTGTTGACACTTTAACCCGTGAATCTGATGGATTAACAGTTTGACTTTGAAAGCCTAAAACTTGATTATCCTTAAACCAGTAAACAAACATTGGTGGTGATGCTGTTTGATTAATTATACAGGTTAAATTAATTGTATCCTTTGATTGATAATAGGTTGATGGTCCTCCCAATATCTCTGATTTAGCTTCTACAATCAAATGGATGATTAAATTAAACGAAAAAGGTAAACAACAATTAGTAAAATTAGTTCAACATTTACAGATTCAATTTAACCCCAAAGGTAAATTAAACTTTGAAACCATTGAAACAAATTATTGATTTAATTTTAATTCCTCCTTCCCATTAATTATTATTATCATCATCAGAATCAAGTGTTAATTATTCAATTGGTTAATCTAATTAACACAAACCAAACAATGTTTCAATAAAAAAAATGCTTCTGCTAATTAGCTAACTATAATTAGTCCCCTATCCAAGTAATATTATGATAATAATTAATATCTTTTACTGAAAAAAAAAATTTGCTCAAATTGTTCAACGATAATTAAAGCTAAACAACTTTCAATGGATTAAATTAGTTCAAATTAGATCGAGGAATTAATTAAATTAATTTGTCGAATGAAAAAAAAGTTTCTAAATATTAATAAACTTATTAATAGATTAATTTGATAACTCTCACTAATTCAGATTCATCTAAATCTAATCTAATTTTATTTATATTCCTCTTCATTGTTATTATTATCAAATTAGGAATTGATTCAATTTCATGTTGATAATCAAGGCAAACTCATTGATAATTTAATAACAGACAAGAAAATGTTATCATAATTATGTTATCATCGTTGCTCATGAAAATGTATGATTGATATTCAGATAATAATAATAATAGTTGCTGAGAATGCTAAGAATTGACAAAGCAAAGATATTATCGAAAACGGAACTTGAAAAATTGATACAACTCGAAACGATTAACTTACCAATAACACTAAGGTAAAAGGGTAAACTTTTTTTCGGCTCCGTGCTGATCTGACATTCGTAGGTACCAGTGTCCTCTGTTTGGATATACTTTATATGGAGATACCATTCATCGGTATTCTCAACGTGCTTCGGCTCGAACCGTTGATCTGAAGTATATATGTAAGGTCCAGCGGAGATAATATGTAGATCCTTTTGACGAACCCAGGAAACCTTTTTAATTAGAAAAGATAATTGTAAACAATTAATTAGTTAGTTAGTTCTAATCTTTAACAATTAGCTTTTCTTGTTGTACAATTAACGGTTGTGAAAACATTAAACATTTAGATTAACATTTCTCATTGAAATCTATTAATTTTTATCATGATGATTTTGGATTAATTATTTTGTGAGGAAAATTTAATAAGAAAACTTATTAAAAGGAAATCTTAAGTAATAAGAATGAGAAACAAAGGTAATTCGTATTGAATTAGATCTAAAGATCACAGGGTAAGAAATGATTATTGATTATCCGAAAGGATTAAAGATTAATCTAACGATTAATATTGAAAGTTCCAAATGAATTTACTTAAGTAACGTTCACAACAATCAAGAATTCCAATCTGTCCACAACACAGATTATAATTAAGATTCGAATTCAGGATTCTGACAATGTGAGTAAGCATGTAATTAAGTTTATTGAAAATTGAAATTGGTTAACTGAAACTTTAGTTGAATGATATAATCAAATTACAATTGTAATTAAAACTGATAAAACAAAATCAAGAAAATTGAATCTAATTAAACTTAGAGAGTAAAGTACAATTATAATTATTAATTTCACTAGAGTGATCTTAACGTTTTCATTGTAAAACTTTATCTCTGCTGTTAATTCAATCAACATGAATTTTTAAAGACAAAAAGAAAGAAGATAATGAAAAGACAGAGAAGATAAAATTGGTTTTTCGAAGAGAAAAAGAAAGAGGAAGATTTTTGTCTTACTTTTTAACTTCAGTTTACAAAAGGAAATTATTAATTGAGTCAAAGGCAAAAGTCTTATCTCATTAGTGATAAGCTCACATTTTGAACCCTTGGGAAAATGGTAACTTTAGTTATACAAAAACAACTTCCATAAATGGTAAACCCATAAGGTTATGTCGCGACGATAGTCTAGTTAACCATTTACTTAGAAAATGACAATAGTCAAAAAACGGTTGAAGTCAATACATTGAACTTGTGATTAAACACAACCCATAATCAACTAATTGTCGTTAAATTGTGATTAAACTAAAGTTAATTAAAGTGAATTAAGAAAATAATTAAATTGTTTCAGTTAATTGTGATTAAGAAAATAAGAAAATAATTGAATCAGATGAGCTAAAAGGCTACCCTTCAGTGCCCCAGTTTTTGATTAGGATTACTCTTCTGTTCAATTAATTGAGTATTTGATTGACCACCATTGTTACGATTATATGGAATAATTTGATTGTTTGTTTGATTCCATTCATCTGTTCCTGGATCTACTTCACTAACATGAATTCCAAAATCTTCTGGAAGTGGAAGTGGATTTTCCTCCGTTGGTACAGCACATTTATCATAATCGTAAAAAGGTTCACCTTTAGGTCCATAGTGAGTAAAATAATTCCAATTTTTAGGCCATTCGGCTTTCTTTTCTTTAACTCTTGTTGAGTAAATATCGAAAACTCTAGCGACTCGTCGATTGTTACATGTTGAATCTTGATTCTTATTATGAATACCATCACCAATGAATCCACATTTTCTTTCAATCTCTTGCCAAAAGGCCATGTAAAGTTGACATGAAACTATTGCTTCAACAGCGGGTGAATGTGGTCCACTTTTAATGGTGAATCCCTTGAAAACAAGGAAGGCTATTAAGCTCAATGAGCATGGAGTTTCATAATAAGGTGAAAAGAATTGGGTAATTTCCCTCATCTTAGGTCTGAGAAGATCGATTTCATCCTTTTGGAGACCAAGAGCTGTTAGTTGCATGATTAGATTAGTACCAACTAATTGTTCACATATCACTAGATAAGGAATCACTTGGTCACGAATTGATTGAAGATTCTTAGCATGTTTTAAGTCGCTATAACGAACACCATGATGATGAGTTTCTAAATGAATATTAGATGAATATCTAACGAAACTTTCATAGATGATTTGTTGATGACCATTAACAATTACAATCCAAATTGGTCGTTGTCTAGTCTTTTCTCTCAGTCCTTGTTGAACTTGATATTGTTCATAGACACCAGCATAAGCCATATTAATAGAAAAGACCAAATCAGGATTTTCATGTTTTTCGGTGTTGATCTTAATCTTCTCAGCATAATCATCAGGAAGAGTTGGAATTTGAATATGAGTTAATTTATTAAATACTTCAATTGATTCCTTGTATTTAATTGCTTGTAAATGAGCGAAACCTGAGTTGCTCGTTGATGATGATGTTGATGATGATGACGATCTTCTTTCCCGATAATTGTTATTAGTTGTTCTTTGAATTTCTCTCATTGATGGAAATCTTTTAGGAATGATTCTCATGAGAGTTTCAGCTGTATCATTTTCTACCAAGGAAAAAACATCAATACGGATAAATGGTAATCCTGGATCGTAATACTTTCTTGGTATCTCTTGATAAGTTCGTGATGGTCTAGGTGTTCCATAAGCACGAGTAGCCC